CAGGACCCCCCCGCTCGTCGGGGCGGCCGACGGCTCGGGGCCGTCGGCGGGTCTGGCGGTCAGTTCCCCAAGTGCCCAAATGGGTACGGGAAGAATGGGTACAATGCCCAACTGCATTCCCTGTTCATTTTGAACAGGACTCGCTGTCCACGCCGCCGCGGCCTGTGTCCATTCGAGACAAAAGGCCGCTTGCCCAACAGCGGCCGCTGTTGGTTTGGGACAACATTTATTGTTGGGCATTGTGCCCATTCTTTCCGTACCCATTTCGGGCGTCCAAATCAAATATGTTTGTTGGGGTGCCTCCTGGGTGGTCTCCTGGGGCCTCCGGGGCACCCCGTCGGGCGCGCGTCGGGGCGCCCCGGGGAGCCTGCGGAGTCATCTTGGCGCCGTCCTGGAGGAGGTCGGTCAACGGAGGGGGGGCTCGCACTTTGCTCACCCCCATGAGGTCAGGAAAGGGGCCAGCACCTTATGACAGCCATGATTTTGGCATTCTCGCCGAGGTCTCGTGATGCGTCTTGGGCCTCTGCGGCGCCTCTGCGGGCATTCTGGGGGACTCTTGGGGGCCTCTTGGGGGCTTCTTTGGGGCCTCTAGACTCTAGGGGGCCTCCTTGGGTCTCCTGGGCGCCTCTCGGGGCCCCCTTGGGGCGCGCTTGGGGAGTTCGATCAAAAGGAAGGGGGCTCTTTAGTCGAGTCCCCCCAGCCCCAGGAAGCCAACGAATGGCCGACCTCACTGTGGCAATCAATGGTTTAGGTACTTTCGCCGATGCCTCTTGGGGCGTCTTGGGTGCCTCTGGGGCAACTTCTCGGGGCTTCTTGGGTATCTCTTGGGGGCCTGATGGGGGCATGTTGGAGGCATATTGCGGGCCTCTCGGGGCGTGCTGGGCGCATCTTTGGGTTTGGGGGCACCCCTGGGAGCCTCGGGTGCCCTCTTGGGGCCACTGCGGAGGAGATCGATCAAACGAGGGGACCTCCCGCTGAGCCCCCCCAGGGACCCGCAAGGAACGTTGCTTGGTGCCGTGCCTGTTGCCGCGGTCTGTGCCGCGCGTCGTGGCGAATGCCGTGCTGGTTGCCGCCCGCGTCCGTGGCCGTGGCCCAAGTAACGGCAACCTGAGCAGCTCAGTCGGTCTCGGCGCATCCTGTCGGGTGTTTGGTCGCATGCCCCCCTGCAGTCGAGTCGGGTTTGCTGCGCCCTGGCGGGCGCGCACCCAGCGTCGCGCTAGCCTGGGAGGGCGAGGGATGAGGAACGCGGTTTTGGGCGGCGGGTCTTTTCGCAGCCCGTCGCCCAGTCGTGGTCTGTCACGTCGCCCACGACACTTCGCTTGCTCCCAGGGTGTCCCGCGGCGCCTTCCCCAGCCGATAGACGCGGTCAAGGGGGAGGGGGCGTGAAGGGCGTGCAAGGTTGAATCCGTGGTGTCCCAGGGGGCCTTTCCGCCGCGAGACGCGGTCCCGGGGGGTGGTCCGGGGGCGCCCAAGGCTGAAGCCGTGGTGTCCCCAGGCGCCCCCCCAGCCGCGAGACGCGGTCAATGGGGGGGTGCCCAATTGGCGTCCAAAACCGAAGTAGTGGTGTCCCGAGGCGCCCCCCAGCCGCGAGATTCGGTAAAGCGGGGGCGCCCGAGGGGCGTTCAGAATTTACGCTTTGGTGTCTCGAGGCGACCCCTCGGTTGCGAGACGCGGTTAACAAAGAGGGGTGCCCAGGTAGCGGTCAAGATTGAAACGCTGGTGTTCCGAGGTGCCCCCGAGGCCGCGGCACGCGGTAAGGGGGGGTGCCCAGGGGGCATTCAAGGTTGAAACCGTGGTGTCCTGGACGCCCCCCAACGCACGAGCCGCTGTCAAGGCGGGAGCGTTCAGGGAACTGTGTCTTGAGGTGCCCTCTCACCACGTGTATCATGTCGTTTGCGTCCCCGCAGCCACATTCACGACCCGCTCAATCAAGACATGCCTGCGTCGTTATTTCGCCACGATCCAGGGAAATTCGAAATGGTCCCCAGAGGCCCTCCAACAACTTGACAAGGCCCCGGCCTAGAACCATACGCTGCTTGAGCCATCCCATCAACAACCGCTTAAGCCATTCCAGCAACGTACTTCATCATCCATGACGCACTGCTTCATCACGCCTGCATCGTTGTGTGACCACGTCCGCGCTACATGATGTAATGCCATCCGTATCCAAATTGTTTTGTGTGTGTGTGTTTTCGAATCGATTTGCCCCTCTTCCATCTTCATGTCGGGCGTCGAGGGTTCAATCACTGCACTTCTGCAGCCTGGGGCCTCCCATCACGTGATCCATCCCGCCAGGAAGTGCAGGAGTCATTGCAATGCCGTGCTTCCGCCGTCACCCCCGCAAGCCCGATGCACCCTCATGGCACCTGCCCCGATGCCTCAGCAAGCCTGGCGACCTGCATCGTTGCATCTGCATCCCTGCAACTAGCCATGGCACACCGCGTGACTGTCGCGCCTGTTACTTATAGCGAAGATCGCATTGCACAGTCTTGAAACATACGCTGCCTGAGCCTTCCCATCATCAACCGCCTAAGCCATTGCACTAACGTGCTTCATCATCCATGACACTGCTTCATCACGCCTGCATCGTTGCTTCGCCACGTCGATGCTACATGATTAAAGCTCTTACATATCCCACTGTGGTTGGTGTGTTTTCGAGTTGATTCGCCCCTGTTCAAGATTCATGTCAGGCTTCGAGGGTTCAATCACTGCTCCTCTGCAGCCTGGGGTCCTACGTTGCCTGATCCCGCCAGGGAACGCTGGGTCACTGCAATGCCGCGCATCCGCCGTCACCCCCGCAAGCCTGGTGCATCATCATGGCACCTGCCCCGATCAAGCCCGACAACCTGCATCGCACACCGCGTGATTGCCGCGCCTGCTCCTCATGACGCAGATCGCGTTGCACGTTTCTCCCCCTGCGCAGCTTCCATACGACCATCTGGCACGAAGGCGACTGGACCTACTCCGGTTCGCACCACTATTGGCACATGGTCTGTACAACCCGGTCGTCGCGCCTGCGTCGGGGCACCCAGAGTCCACGTCAGGACACCCAATATTGGCCCAAGACGGCCCAAGGCCAAAGAAGACTGAACATCTCCCCCCGACCGCCCCCGCACACCCAAGATGGCCTCAAGACTTCCTTGGTGAGGCGACGAGCTCCCGAGAGAAGCTTCTCTGCTCGGTCAGCGCTCTTGCACCTTATTGAATCCAGGTTGACACCATTGTTTGCTAGAACCTAAGCGCGCGCGAAGCGTGCGTGGTTCTAGTGGAGCTGTATGGTGGCGTCTTGAGACCTCATGGAGGCATGTTTGACATCATCTTGAGTCATTTGGGGTTATTCTGTAGAGCCATACGACGCCATCTTGGGCTATCTGGGCCCTCTTGGGGCCATATCGGTCTGTCCTGGAAGTGCAAGCCCTTCGGCCCCCCCTCCCGAACCACTTCTGGGGCGATGTTTAGCTCTTACGTGGTCGTCTACATGCCGAAAGGGGCGCCGGGGAGCAACACTGATTAGGGGGGGGCTGTTGTTCTGAGGACCCGCGCGAGGAAGGATGGGAGAGGGTCGTTCCTGGAAAAATACAGAAGCCCTTCCAGACAATTGATAAGCATTCCGACATGCCCCAACGTGTCGAAGGCACACTGGCGGATGACGAGATCGCAAACGAGATGAAGAGCATGCTGGTCAAGGTTGGGTGGAAGAAGGACTTCGTCGAGAAGGGGACGCCGGTGATGCCCATCTCTGGCTGGATGGGCGACAACCTTCTGAAAAAGTCTGACAACATGGGCTGGTGGAAGGGCTGCGATGTCGAGTACGGCAAGGAGACCATCCACGTGGACACCGTCTACGATGTGCTTGACGTGATGTGCCGCGTGCCGGAGCGGCCCACCAGCGCGCCAATGCGCATGCCGATCTCTGGCATCTACAAGATCAAGGGTGTCGGCGATGTGCTCGCTGGGCGCGTGGAGCAGGGCGTGGTGAAGCCGGGCGAGGAGGTCGTGTTCCTGCCCACGCACACCGCTTCGAACCCGTGCACTGGCAAGGTGTTCACCGTGGAGATGCACCACCAGCGCGTCGACTTCGCCAATCCCGGGGACAACGTTGGCCTCAACATCAAGGGGCTCGACAAGAATAACATGCCCCGCTCGGGCGACGTGATGGTCTACAAGAAGGACACAACCCTGGGTCAGACGAAGGAGTTCGACGCGCAGATCCAGGTGCTCGACATCCCCAACGAGATCAAGGTCGGCTACTCCCCGATCGGCTTCGTGCGCTGCGGGCGCGCGGCATGCCGCATCAGCAAGCTGAAGTGGAAGATGGGCAAGGAGACGGGTGGCAAGAAGATGGAGGATCCCCACTCCCTCAAGTCCAACGAGATGGCTCAGTGCAGCTTCCAGCCGCAGCAGCCGCTGGTGTGCGACACCTTCAAGAACTGCGAGGGCCTGTCGCGCGTGGCGTTCATGGATGGCAACGGCGTTGTGATGCTTGGCAAGGTCATCTCGTGCGAGCGCAAGGAGGAGGGCGGCGCTGGCGGCAAGAAGAAGTAAGTCGTGTGAGAGGTCCCGCAGTCGACGCGACGAGCTTCTGACCACGCACACGTCTTTCCAGCGTCCTGTGAGAGAACGCGCGCCCACCTTGGCTACGGGATTGGGGAAAGAAGCGTTTCCTGCTTACGTGCATATCGAAGACGCCTCTGGCGAACCACCGCCGCCCCAAGTTTTTGTTTGCCAAGTTCTTGGCTCGTGTGTTCCCTGAGCTGTCGTGGAAGCAGCTCGATGAAAGCATGATGTCGGGTTGGCGTTGTGTGTGTGTGTGTGTGTGCGTGTGCGTGTGCGTGTATGTGTTCGTCCTCGGGCCAGGCTTTTGGGAACTCAGGGGCCCACGGAGCCTTTTTTTGTTTCCCCAGGGCGCCTCCCCCCGACCCTCACAGTAAGTCAAAGGGCAGCTTGACTTGCAGCGACCGGCTCGCAAATGAGATGCAGCTGGCTTGCGTCCTTAACGCTGGCTCGAGGTTCAAGCGTCATTAGACGGGGGGGGATCTCGCGGGTCTGAGCCACTTTAGCGAAGCAGGGCAGCAATGCCAGCAAATTCCGAGAAGGAGCATCTGTCCATTGTGATCTGCGGCCATGTCGACAGTGGCAAGAGCACCACCACCGGCCGCCTGATCTTCGAGCTGGGCGGACTGCCCGAGCGTGAGCTCGAGAAGCTGAAGGCGGAGGCCGAGCGCCTGGGCAAGGGCTCCTTCGCCTTCGCGTTCTACATGGACCGCCAGAAGGAGGAGCGCGAGCGCGGCGTGACCATCGCTTGCACCACCAAGGAGTTCTACACCGAGAAGTGGCACTACACTGTCATTGATGCCCCAGGCCATCGCGATTTCATCAAGAACATGATCACTGGCGCTTCCCAGGCGGATGTTGCGCTTATCATGGTCCCGGCCGACGGTAATTTCACGACCGCCATCGCCAAGGGCAACCACAAGGCTGGCGAAATCCAGGGGCAGACTCGCCAGCACTCTCGCTTGATCAACTTGCTGGGCGTGAAGCAGATCTGCATTGGCGTCAACAAAATGGACTGTGACACCGCTGGATACAAGCAGTCCCGCTACGACGAGATCGCAAACGAGATGAAGAGCATGCTGGTCAAGGTTGGCTGGAAGAAGGACTTCGTCGAGAAGGGGACGCCGGTGATGCCCATCTCTGGCTGGATGGGCGACAACCTTCTGAAAAAGTCTGACAACATGGGCTGGTGGAAGGGCTGCGATGTCGAGTACGGCAAGGAGACCATCCACGTGGACACCGTCTACGATGTGCTTGACGTGATGTGCCGCGTGCCGGAGCGGCCCACCAGCGCGCCAATGCGCATGCCGATCTCTGGCATCTACAAGATCAAGGGTGTCGGCGATGTGCTCGCTGGGCGCGTGGAGCAGGGCGTGGTGAAGCCGGGCGAGGAGGTCGTGTTCCTGCCCACGCACACCGCTTCGAACCCGTGCACTGGCAAGGTGTTCACCGTGGAGATGCACCACCAGCGCGTCGACTTCGCCAATCCCGGGGACAACGTTGGCCTCAACATCAAGGGGCTCGACAAGAATAACATGCCCCGCTCGGGCGACGTGATGGTCTACAAGAAGGACACAACCCTGGGTCAGACGAAGGAGTTCGACGCGCAGATCCAGGTGCTCGACATCCCCAACGAGATCAAGGTCGGCTACTCCCCGATCGGCTTCGTGCGCTGCGGGCGCGCGGCATGCCGCATCAGCAAGCTGAAGTGGAAGATGGGCAAGGAGACGGGTGGCAAGAAGATGGAGGATCCCCACTCCCTCAAGTCCAACGAGATGGCTCAGTGCAGCTTCCAGCCGCAGCAGCCGCTGGTGTGCGACACCTTCAAGAACTGCGAGGGCCTGTCGCGCGTGGCGTTCATGGATGGCAACGGCGTTGTGATGCTTGGCAAGGTCATCTCGTGCGAGCGCAAGGAGGAGGGCGGCGCTGGCGGCAAGAAGAAGTAAGTCGTGTGAGAGGTCCCGCAGTCGACGCGACGAGCTTCTGACCACGCACACGTCTTTCCAGCGTCCTGTGAGAGAACGCGCGCCCACCTTGGCTACGGGATTGGGGAAAGAAGCGTTTCCTGCTTACGTGCATATCGAAGACGCCTCTGGCGAACCACCGCCGCCCCAAGTTTTTGTTTGCCAAGTTCTTGGCTCGTGTGTTCCCTGAGCTGTCGTGGAAGCAGCTCGATGAAAGCATGATGTCGGGTTGGCGTTGTGTGTGTGTGTGTGTGTGCGTGTGCGTGTGCGTGTATGTGTTCGTCCTCGGGCCAGGCTTTTGGGAACTCAGGGGCCCACGGAGCCTTTTTTTGTTTCCCCAGGGCGCCTCCCCCCGACCCTCACAGTAAGTCAAAGGGCAGCTTGACTTGCAGCGACCGGCTCGCAAATGAGATGCAGCTGGCTTGCGTCCTTAACGCTGGCTCGAGGTTCAAGCGTCATTAGACGGGGGGGGATCTCGCGGGTCTGAGCCACTTTAGCGAAGCAGGGCAGCAATGCCAGCAAATTCCGAGAAGGAGCATCTGTCCATTGTGATCTGCGGCCATGTCGACAGTGGCAAGAGCACCACCACCGGCCGCCTGATCTTCGAGCTGGGCGGACTGCCCGAGCGTGAGCTCGAGAAGCTGAAGGCGGAGGCCGAGCGCCTGGGCAAGGGCTCCTTCGCCTTCGCGTTCTACATGGACCGCCAGAAGGAGGAGCGCGAGCGCGGCGTGACCATCGCTTGCACCACCAAGGAGTTCTACACCGAGAAGTGGCACTACACTGTCATTGATGCCCCAGGCCATCGCGATTTCATCAAGAACATGATCACTGGCGCTTCCCAGGCGGATGTTGCGCTTATCATGGTCCCGGCCGACGGTAATTTCACGACCGCCATCGCCAAGGGCAACCACAAGGCTGGCGAAATCCAGGGGCAGACTCGCCAGCACTCTCGCTTGATCAACTTGCTGGGCGTGAAGCAGATCTGCATTGGCGTCAACAAAATGGACTGTGACACCGCTGGATACAAGCAGTCCCGCTACGACGAGATCGCAAACGAGATGAAGAGCATGCTGGTCAAGGTTGGCTGGAAGAAGGACTTCGTCGAGAAGGGGACGCCGGTGATGCCCATCTCTGGCTGGATGGGCGACAACCTTCTGAAAAAGTCTGACAACATGGGCTGGTGGAAGGGCTGCGATGTCGAGTACGGCAAGGAGACCATCCACGTGGACACCGTCTACGATGTGCTTGACGTGATGTGCCGCGTGCCGGAGCGGCCTACCAGCGCGCCAATGCGCATGCCGATCTCTGGCATCTACAAGATCAAGGGTGTCGGCGATGTGCTCGCTGGGCGCGTGGAGCAGGGCGTGGTGAAGCCGGGCGAGGAGGTCGTGTTCCTGCCCACGCATACCGCTTCGAACCCGTGCACTGGCAAGGTGTTCACCGTGGAGATGCACCACCAGCGCGTCGACTTCGCCAATCCCGGGGACAACGTTGGCCTCAACATCAAGGGGCTTGACAAGAATAACATGCCCCGCTCGGGCGACGTGATGGTCTACAAGAAGGACACAACCCTGGGTCAGACGAAGGAGTTCGACGCGCAGATCCAGGTGCTCGACATCCCCAACGAGATCAAGGTCGGCTACTCCCCGATCGGCTTCGTGCGCTGCGGGCGCGCGGCATGCCGCATCAGCAAGCTGAAGTGGAAGATGGGCAAGGAGACGGGTGGCAAGAAGATGGAGGATCCCCACTCCCTCAAGTCCAACGAGATGGCTCAGTGCAGCTTCCAGCCGCAGCAGCCGCTGGTGTGCGACACCTTCAAGAACTGCGAGGGCCTGTCGCGCGTGGCGTTCATGGACGGCAACGGCGTTGTGATGCTTGGCAAGGTCATCTCGTGCGAGCGCAAGGAGGAGGGCGGCGCTGGCGGCAAGAAGAAGTAAGTCCGGAATGTCCTCCCGCAGTCGACGCGACGATCACTTGACCACATACAGTGTCCATGGTCTTCCGCCCCCTCTGAGAGAGCGTGTGCCCGCCCCAACCGCGGAAAAGGTTCGTTACGACGTTCCCTCGGCAACGGGTGGCGCTATCTACCAGGGCTACAGTAGGAATTGCACAGTAATACTGCATGTGTGCTTGCGTGTCTGTGTGCATGTGTGTATGCATCTGCTCACGTTGTGTGCAAGATGCTCACCGCTCGTCTCCTGTTGTACGCTGGGCGTCCTGGATCATGGGTGGCATCGTATTTATTGGGGGGGGATTCGCGGACTTTGCGGGGCTCGTCTCCGCGATAGCGGGCTCGTGAGGTTGATTGATATCGGATGGTTCGTCGGACTCGCGCAGATCTCAGGCCTTGCGGGGCTCCGAGGGTGCCCTCAACAGGGTGGTTCTGCTGGGCGGCGAGCCCTTGGAGGCCTGAAGAGAGGCCACCTCGCCCTCCTCGCGCCCTCCCTCCCCGTCCTCCCTCGCCGTCCTGCCTCCTTCGCCCTCCTACGCCCCCTGCCTCGCCCCCTGCATCGCCCCCCGCGCCATAAAAGGCCCCACGAACAACTCCCCTTCGGGCCTCGCAGATGATCGCTATGGCCGTGGTGGTCGTGCCAGTTCTGTGGGGCTGCACTGGCCGCAGGCGCATATGACAAAAAAGTGGTCTGCCCCTGCCCCACGGATCCGCACCAACGCAGGAAGCCACTTGCACCAACAGCTCGAGCAGGGCAACGCATCCTCGACGACTCGCTCCTGGTCTATGGGTGGTACATCCTCTCTAACCGCTGCCGCGCTACTGCTTTTCTGTCACCGCCATCCGCAGACTTCTCGGGGGCGGAAAGGAGGGGGGTGGTGACTAGGGGGTGGTGGATATCATGGCGTGGGCCATGATATTTCCCCAAATTTCATGGCGCCTCTTCTTATTTCATTACGTCCCTGGCCCCCCCGCTGGGCCGCGCACATGCCGCCGGTCATGATTTGCACCCCCCTTCTTGGACCCCCCCCTCTTGGCCGCTCCCGAACTTCTCTGGCTCAGTGTGGCAGAACTGGCAACCGTACCAGAATACGCATGCGTGTCTGACTGGGTACGCCGAGGCCCAAAAAGGCTCGGCAGCGCCACCTTGGGGGTAGTCCAGGACGCAACACCGCGATGCTGCGGTAGCCTTGCACGGCTGCCGCGCTGGCTCGTTTCCTATCTGAGGTTTCTTGGCTGCATCTTTGGGGCTTCTCTGGGGTTTTTGAGGCTCTCTCATGATGGGCCCGTTTTCCACCACCATAAGTTGGATGGGGAGGGGGTCCTCCCCCTCCTCCTCCACGTCCTCCTCCTCCTCTTCCTCCTCCTCGTCCTCCTCCTCCTCCTCCTCCTCCTCCTCCTCCTCCTCCTCCTCCTCCTCCTCCTCCAGTCACTTTCCTCCTTCCCCCCTCCAACTTCTGGTGGTGGTGGACACCCGGCCCATCCTCCTGGGCGCCCTCCAGGGATCCGCAGGGAGCCTCCCGGAGGCCTACCGGCCGCCCGGGGCGGGCCCTCTCGGCCACCGTGCGCGGGCCCGCCTCCTCGGACGCCCGTGCCGTAGGCGGTCCCGAGCAGTCCCGGGGGGCTCTGGTTGGGGAGCAGTCTCGGAGCACCCCTTGGGCTTTCGGTGGGTCCCTTGGGGGCCCTGGGCGCCCTCTTGGGGCCACCTTCGAGGATGCCGAGCAAAGGGAGGGGGATTCGTCAGCCGCGGCGCCCCTCGAGAGTCTGGAGCGTCTGGCATCACCTCTTGGGGCCCTCTCGGGCGCCCGGCGGGACCATCTTGGAGCCCTCTCGGGCCCCGCGCGGGGCTCCCTTGGGCCATCTTGGAGCCATGCTGAGGCTTCAGCGCTCATCGGAAACGAAACGACGTCGATGCAACCCACACCGATTCCCCCTCTGTGGTCGTGTAGGGTTGTTGCCTTTAAGGAGCGTTCTGAGGAGGCTCCAAGGCCACTGGGACCCGTCTCTGAGTGGTCCTGGGGCCTTTTTGAAGTATGGTGATATATACCTTAACCATTATGATGTGTCTTGGCCCATCTTGGAAGTCATGTGGTGCTCTTTGAGGCCGCCTTGGAGCCATCTTGGGCCATCTTGGGCGCTCCAACGCCTCGCGGGGCGCTCCGTACAGAGCCAGGGGTAGATGGTAGGGGGAGGGGTCAAGGCAACCTCCACGCCTGCAGGTTGTCTCGCTCACTCCCACCCGCCCTCCCAACACATACTTAGCGCCCGGGTCCCAGCATGTTCAGCGGTCGTCTCTGGATGGGCAGCTACTGGGAGCCAAACCAGACCCCATGTGCGCGACGCTGTGGGGAGGTGCGCCACGCATTTTGGGTGTGCCACGCGCGCCAGGTGCACCAGGCACCCCTGAGGGCCAAGTGTGTTTAAGGGCGCCTGGAGCGCTAGATGCGCAACGTGCGCTACGTGCGCCATGTGTGCCGCATGCTCCAGCCGCACCAGGTTCACCACATTCTGGGCACGCGCAGAGTGTGCCAGATGCGCCCGCGCACGTGGCAGCACACATCGGGAAACATGTCCCCCCATCATCCAATGCGCAATCGCGGCGGGGAGGCTACCGTGGTGTCTGGTTGGCCTGCGCACAGCAGGCAACATGCCAGCACCCCCGCCGTCCTTGGCAACATCCAATGGGCAATTATTGTGGGGTGGCCGCGCATGGTCCAGATTCAGCAGCGACGTGCATTTTGTATTGTCTGTTGTGCGGAATGGTGGCCCTGCGCGCAGCAGGCAATCTGAGGGCACCCCCTCGCCGTCCTTGTGAGAAACAGTACAACGTACACGCGGGGCCCACGAACATGACCCACGACTTTCCCCCAAATTGTATGTTGTCTTGTTTTTTTTGTCAGGGATGGAGTGTGGGAGGGGTGTTGCCATTGTTCCTGTTTGGCTGTCGGTCACCTGTGGGAGGGGGTGCTTATCAATAGGGAACATCGGTCAAGACACCTGCTGCTCACACGGCGCAAGCCTTCTCGCTCACTCCCACCCGCCCAACCAACACATAAAGTAGCACCCGAGTGCCCCTGTCAAAAACCAATGCAAAGTGGTCGCGGGGCGCCCACGCATGGTCCAGATTTGGACGCACAGTGGACTTTGCCTTGTACGCCTGCAGAGCTCAGGGCGCCCCCGCAGTCCCTGTCAACAACGGCTGCGAAGTCGCCGCGAGGCGCCCGCGCATGCTCCAGATTTGGAGGACAAGTGTATTTCGTTTTTGGGCAGGGACGACTGGCTCGCGCGAAGCAGGGAAAAGCAGAGCACCCCCACCGCCCCCGTCAAAAGCCAGGTAGAGTGGTCGCGGGGCGCCCGCGCGTGCCCCAAGTGTGGAAGCGCAGTGTATGCTGCATTGTTTTATGTACAAGGGTGCCGGGGGGGGTGTCGGCCCGGGCCCTGGCTGGCTGCTGGCTGCCTGGGGGGTAGAGGGTTTCTCCGAAGGGCTTAGGCGACCCGTCCTCCTCCTCCTCCTCCTTCTCCTCCTCCTCCTCCTCCTCCATCTCCTCCTCCCCCTCCCCCTCCTCCCCCTCCTCCTCCTGTTCGGGTCGCCTACGGCCCCGGGGGAAACCGTGCAGGGGAGGGCGTCTATCAATGGGGTGGTCAAGCCACCCCCACGAAGGACGGTCGCCTCGCTCACTCTCACCCGCCCCTCCCAAAGCCTTGGCATCGCTCGGACGTGTGCATTTTTCCTTCGGCGAGGACCATCGAGGAGCATCCTTGATCATTTGGCGAAAAAGCCACGCACGAAACCGAAAAAAAAACACAGGGAATGGACGTCCGAGCGATGGCCAGGAAAAGCACCCCGCTCGCAGCACAGGAAGGGGCCACCAGCGCCAGCCATCGGGGGGGCCAGCGCAGACGCCAGGCAGAGGTGCGCGACGCCCACGCGTGCCAGCTGACCCCTCCTCCTCCTCCTCCTCCTTCTCCCTGTCAGGCAGCAGCGGCGCAGAACTGTCGCGGGGCGCCCGCGCATCGTCGAAGCTTTTGCCGCAGCGTGCGCTTTCTGCACCGATTTTTGACGGGGATCGATTTTTGACAGGGATTTTTGGCAGGGATCGTGGGATTTTTGACAGGGATCGTGGGACGATGGGGGGGCCATGATGGCCCCCCCGTCGTCCCCATCCAGAAGCGGTGTGGAGTAGTCGCTTGGCGCCCGAACGCAATCTGGAGTTCTGACGCGGATGGTGGCGGGGGGGCTGAGGTCGGCATTGTGCCTGGTTTGTCGCCGGTCGGGTGGGGGAAGGGAGCGTTTCATTATGAGCAGGGATTTCCCTTCCTCGACGAGGGGGAAGAGCGACTAAACCACCTACTCCCTGAAGGTCTAGTGGGGCTTCGTTTCGAGAGAGGGCGGGGCCACCTAGAAGATTAAAGACACCCTGCCAGGCAGCACTTGGTCTTCTGCCACGCCTCACCGTGCCAGGGCAAACGGTGGCGGACACACACACACACCCGCACACACACAGACACACACACACACACGCACATAAGCACATACGCACACGCACACACAACACACAACACACAACACACAACTCACACACAACACACACAGCACACAAGCACCAACACACGCACACCCGCACACACCCGCACACGCACGCACACAATCACACATAATCACACACACACACGCACACCCGCACCCCCCACCCCCGCACACACACACACACGCACAGACACGCACACACACACACGCACACACCCGCACACCCCCCGCAAACACCCACACGCACACACACACACACACACGCACGCACACACACACACACCCGCACACACCCGCACACACACACACATCCGCACACCCACACACCCCACACCACACACACCGCACACACACACACCACACATACACACACACCCGCACACACACACACACACACACGCACACACCCGCACACACACACACACACACACACACACACACACACACGCACACACACCGCGCACGCACACACGCACACACAGCACACACACACACACACGCACACACACACACACACAAACACACACACACACCCGCACACACCCGCACACACACACACACCCTCACACACACACACCCGCACGCGCACACAAACACACACCCGCACACACCCGCACACACACATCCGCACACACACACACACACATCCGCACACACCCGCGCACACACCCGCACACACCGGCATAGACACACCCGGGCACACGCACACACACACACCCGCACCCATAAACACACAAACACACCCGCACACTCCCGCACTCACACGCACACACCCGCACACACCCGCACATACACATACACACACACACACACACCCGCACGCACACACTCTCACACACCCGCACACCCGCACACACACACACACCCGCACACACACACCAGCACACACGCACACTTACACACCCGTACACACACACGCACACGCACACGCACACGCACACACACACACACACGCACACACGCACACACGCACACACGCACAAACGCCCACACGCACACACGCACACAGGCACACACGGACACACGCACACAGGCACACAGGCACACACATGCACACACGCACACACGCACACACGCACATACAAACGCACATACACATACACATACACATACACATACACATACACATATGCATACCAATACACATACACATACACACAGACGCTCACCCATCCACCCACACCCACGCCCACACTCACACCCACACCCACACCCACACCCACACCCACACCCGCACCTACACCAACACCCGCACCCACACCCACACCCGCGCCACACTCTCACACCCACACCCACACCCACACCCACACCCGCACCCATAAACACACACGCACATACACACACTCGTACACACGGTGAAACATTTGCTCAAAAACACATCCTTACACATTCACGCACATTCGCACACACTCGCACACACACACACATCCACTCACCCATTCGCACAGTCACACACATTTCTCACCCACACACACATCCACACACACACACATTCACGCACATTCACACACATGCACGCACATTCACACACACATTGTCACACACATTCACGCACACACATTCACACACGCACACATATTTACACGTTCACACACATTCATACAACTTCCCACTTATTCACACACACATTCGCACACGCACGAACATGTACATACACGTACACGTAACCACACATTTGTGCATGTAGACATTCATGATATTCGATTTTTTGTAAGGCAATGTCGAACATTAGTGTACAGCGCTCCAGGAGTAACGTGCCTGGCGCGCAGCGCAGTCGCCGCAACGTCAATACATTTGGACATTGTACAGTGTGTAGCCATGTGGGTGTGTGTGTGTATGCAAGATGTATAGTTGCACCTGTATGCGTCGTCTGCGTGTTCGCGGGGCCGTCTGTTGGCCGGATTGTGTACACGCATGCGTTTGTAGTCGAGGCGTTCTGCATAAGTTCCACTTCGAGCTCGGGAGGGGCCCCGTGCCTCGTAGGTGTCCCCATGGACGACACCCCCTCCCTCTTCCTGCCCTCTCCTCTCTCCTCCCTCCCTGCTCCCTTCCTCGATCTTGCTCCGCGCTCCCTCCCTCCCTGCCTGCCCCCCCCCCGCCTCTCCCCTCCTTCCTGCTGGTCGCCTCCTCTCCTCCATCCCTGCTGGTCGGAGGCTCAAGGGCGTCACTGGACAGGAAGTGCCGTTACGTAGCTCTGCTCGGGGCTGCGGCAGCCATGCCGGCCAATTCGGAGAAGGACTTGAAGCCGCCGCCGTCGTGGTCGTCGTTTTTCTACTCCTCCTCCTCTGTCCCTCCTCCCTCCCTCCCCCCTCTCCTCCCTCACTCCTTCCCGTGCAGTCGCCGAATAGGAGCCCCAGGTGCTGTGCGAGTGGAGCGCCGTTCCTCCCGCAAACTGTCTTTCGGCGCGCCGTCTGCTGACGCGCAGGATTGGCTCTACCCTCCCCTCCGAAATTGCCCCGGAACGTCTTGGTATGGTGTTTGGTATGTTTCAGTTCGAGCGGATCGGTTGTCGTTGTTCGAAATCGGGCCCCCGCTGCACCGTTGGCCTCATTTCGGGATCGGCGCTTTCAGCTCCACTCCTCGACCTGTTGCTGTCGACCTCTGGTCAGCAAACGCCAGGCTACCGCAGCCCTTCTTCGGACCGCGGGACGGGCCGACACAAGAACAGCGGCCAGGCAGGGGGCAAGAGCGGGCAGGGGAGCGAGGAGCCGAGGAGCGAGAGAGGGTGGGGGGAGAGGGAGTGCGGGACGGGACAGTGACCACAGCCACTGCTTCTTGTGTGCGCCGCTTTCAGCCGGCCGAAAAAGAAGCAGTGGTTGTGGTCATTTCCCTGGTGCCAAGCTCCACGAAAATGACCACGGCCACTGCTTTGTTTTTGCGGGCCGGAAGGCGGCAGCAGGAGAAAAGCAGTGGCCGTGGTCGTTTTCGCGCCCCGTAGGGAGCGATGAGTGTGGGGGGGGGGGGAGAGGGGCGGGCCCGCCGTGCAGAGCGGCGCTGTCGCCCAAGCGCGGGCCACGGTTCGGGATCCGACTTTCCGCCCCTCGTCGGGCCTCCTCGCTGTCGACCCCTTCCTCTCCCCTCCTCCGCCTTCCCCCTCGGTCTTCCTGCTGCTCTCGCTCCTCCTACTCTTGCTCCTGCTGCGGCTGCTGCCCCTCCTCCTCGTCCTCCTTCCTCCTCCTCCTCCTCCTCCTCCTCCTCCTTCTCCTCCTCCTCCTCCTCATTCGGTTCATCCTCATGCTGATCCTCCTCCGCCTGGTTCCTGGTTCCTGGTGGCTGGAAAGAGCGTTGTTCGTAGCCTCCCCCTCCTCCTCCTTCTCTACTGTAGGCCCGCGCCGCGGATAGAAGCAACGCAATCGGAAGGGATGGGTGGGATGGGTAGGATGTCACATATATCGCGCGCGTACCTGGCTTGCCCTCTCATCTCTCTGGGCGAGTTCCACTGTTCGCAAAGTGCCTTCTCGCAAACGTCATAACAACATTTGCTTGCACCGATGCAATATATCGAAGATCCCCCGCGGCGGATCCATGCCATTTGCGAGTACTTACTTTGCGAGTAGTGGAACTCGCTTGCCCTCTCATCCCTCCCGTTTCTCCCCTCCCTCGTCTGTTTCCACTCCCTCGCCTTTCTTGCCTCCCTCCTCCTCCCTCCCACCTCGCGCCCCTGACGTGAAAGTAGCACAGATGCTGACGGCATGTGCATCTGCAATGAAGTGCTGGACCGAGTGATGGCATGGATCGGCGGCGAGCGAGGGGAAATACCTTCTCAGACGGCGGCGGGACTTCTCGGAAGGCGGCGGGGTTTCTCAGAAACCCTCGCGCCTTCTGAGAAGGCTTGTTGTGCCTTCGGGGAAGGCGTAGAACACTTCTCGGAAGGTCGAAGGACTTCCGAGCCTTCCGGGGAGGCCCGCCCCCTTCTCACTCCCCCCCCCTCGCTCGCCGCCGAGCCTAACACAGAGGATGACGGCCTCTGCATCCGCAGTGGAGTGCTGGGCCGAGGGATGGCAGGATCCCCAGCTCTTCCTGGCACTTGCCACGTGCTGATGATCAACCAGAGGCCTTAGGAGCAGAGCTTACGGCCGCAGTCGGCCGTGCCGCAACGTCGAAACAGCTGTATTTCGGTCCTTCCCCCCAGGTGATCGTTTTCTCAATCATGGTTTTGCCGATCGGCGCGGGCCGCGGGTCCTCGCGCCCCCATGGGGTAGAGATCTTGACTGTCTTTGGCGCCCGTTTCGAGCAGGTGGCGTCTCCCCCATAGGACGCCCTGTTGCAAACAGTCGCATGAAGCAGAGGTCTGGAGCCAGACCTCCCCGCCTCCCCCCGCCTCCGCGCAAGTGTTCACCAGGGTCTGCGCATTGCCCCTGCAGCCCCGTCTTCCTGAGACGACGGGGCAGTCTGGATGGGCCTGCGAGCAGGGCATTGCCCCTCCGATTCCAACTCGTAAGGGTGCGGGCCCGGTTTTTTCTGTCCGCGGTTTCGCACCAGTCTCTTGCCTCCTGCCCCATTCCCGTATCCTCTTGGCTCTCATGCTGGCGCCTGCCTGTGTTGATTCATTATGGGCAACATGTGAGCTTGGCTGTAGGATTCGTGTGCATATGCCAACGTGTTGGCCCGAAGAGATATGGAACACACGCTTGAATTTCCAGTTTGATTTCCGGCTTGTTTGGAGTTCGTTTGGGTGACCTCAGGCATGCACCGTTCGTTCTAGATGTTCCTTGCGCTGTTATTGGGGGAAGCTCCCTCTTCGCCATTCCTCCTTCACAGACAGGGAGGAGGAGGAGGGGGAGGAGGAGGATGGGGAGGAGGGACTGCCTGCTCGGGCTGGGAGGCCGTGGATCCGATCGTCGATGTCTCGCGGCATATCCGTGCTGAAAGCACAGGAGGCCCTGGCCACCCAACAAAGAACAGACGCAGGGCCTCCCTGGTCTGGCTAGGATGGTGCAGAGGTAAACAGGCAGAATGTGTGAGGCAGGGTGGACGGGAGGCAGGGTGCAAGGGATGCACGTGGGAGGAAGTAATTATAGCGCTGTGAATAACTGCCTCTCGCATTTCAGGGCGGTTGTCGCGCTCCGAGCCACCGCTCGCGATCAAATGCGCCGTGTTGTCTTCTAGTCTCCCTCTGCGCGTGAGCTGCTGCCTGCGATGGTCATTCTGTTTTTTCTGCTCATCTCGCTCCTGATCCAAGCGCTGCGAAAAGAAGACGACGGGTGTTTTTGTTATTGGGAAGGCCTAGCGGCCGGTGCCGCCGACCCTGAGGGGGGACGGCGACGACGACGGCGGCGGCAGCGGCGACGACGACGACGCTGACGCTTTGGGAGCCTCTGTTGGGGCTCTCTTGGGAGCCTCTTGGGCTCTGTTGGGGCTTGGGCTGGGGCCGCGGCTGGGGCCAGGGCCAGGGCTGGGGCCGAGGGCCGAGGGCCGAGGCTGGGGCCACGGCCGGGGGCCAGGGCCGGGTCGCCGGGGCCGGGGCCCAGGCTGCGGCCCCCTGGGCTGGGCCGTGTCTGGGTTTGGGGCCGGAGGCGGGGGATGGGGCCGGGGCCGGAGCGGGCCAGGGCGCGGGGGGGAAGACGTGTTTGGGTGGCGACCCCCCCCGGGGACCCCCCCAGGACCCCCCCAGGACCCCCCCCCAGGATCCACCGAGAACCCACTGGGGGCCCCCCTATATGACCCCCCCGGGACCCCCCCCCCCCGGCGCGGGGAAGGGATCAAAGGGAAGGGGTTTCCTTTCGATTCCACTCCGATGTTGTTCAATTTTGCTTTGGACGGCGCGTATGAAGAAGAGGGCCCAGGCAAATGGAACAGAGGAGGACGGAGACGACGACTCCAAGCCCGACTCCAACGGAAAGCCCCTCACACACGCCGACAGGGTTGGCGGATTTGCGCTGCCGCCCTCTGGAACCTTGGTTCGGATCCAGTGCAATTAATAACAACTGGAGGCGAAACACCTGTCCTGTGAGAGGGGGGAGCTCGAGGGCTCATGTGGAGCAAAAACACGACGTGGGCAGTCGGGTCCGCTGTGCGAGGAGCATCTGTCCATTGTGATCTGCGGCCACGTCGACAGTGGCAAGAGCACCACCACTGGCCGCCTGATCTTCGAGCTGGGCGGACTGCCCGAGCGTGAGCTCGAGAAGCTGAAGGCGGAGGCCGAGCGCCTAGGCAAGGGCTCCTTCGCCTTCGCATTCTACATGGACCGCCAGAAGGAGGAGCGCGAGCGCGGCGTGACCATCGCGTGCACCACCAAGGAGTTCTACACCGAGAAGTGGCACTACACCGTCATCGATGCCCCAGGCCATCGCGATTTCATCAAGAACATGATCACGGGCGCCTCCCAGGCGGACGTTGCCCTTATCATGGTCCCGGCCGACGGTAACTTCACGACCGCCATCGCCAAAGGCAACCACAAGGCTGGCGAAATCCAGGGGCAGACTCGCCAGCACTCCCGCTTGATCAACCTGCTGGGCGTGAAGCAGATCTGCATTGGCGTCAACAAGATGGACTGTGACACCGCCGGATACAAGCAGTCCCGCTATGACGAAATCGCAAACGAGATGAAGAGCATGCTGGTCAAGGTTGGCTGGAAGAAGGACTTCGTCGAAAAGGGGACACCAGTGATGCCCATCTCTGGCTGGATGGGCGACAATCTGCTGAAAAAGTCCGACAACATGGGCTGGTGGAAAGGCTGCGATGTCGAGTACGGCAAGGAAACCATCCACGTTGACACGGTCTACGATGTGCTTGACGTGATGTGCCGCGTGCCAGAGCGGCCCACCAGCGCGCCAATGCGCATGCCGATCTCTGGCATCTACAAGATCAAGGGCGTCGGCGATGTGCTCGCCGGGCGTGTGGAGCAGGGCGTAGTGAAGCCGGGCGAGGAGGTCGTGTTCCTGCCCACGCATACCGCTTCGAACCCGTGCACTGGCAAGGTATTCACCGTGGAGATGCACCACCAGCGCGTCGACTTTGCCAACCCTGGGGACAACGTCGGCCTCAACATCAAGGGACTCGACAAGAATAACATGCCCCGCTCGGGCGACGTGATGGTCTACAAGAAGGATACCACGCTGGGTCAGACGAAGGAGTTCGACGCGCAGATCCAGGTGCTCGATATCCCCAACGAGATCAAGGTCGGCTACTCCCCGATCGGCTTCGTGCGCTGCGGGCGCGCGGCGTGCCGCATTAGCAAGTTGAAGTGGAAGATGGGCAAGGAGACGGGTGGCAAGAAGATGGAGGATCCCCACTCTCTCAAGTCCAACGAGATGGCTCAGTGCAGCTTCCAGCCACAGCAGCCGCTGGTGTGCGACACCTTCAAGAACTGCGAGGGCCTGTCGCGCGTGGCGTTCATGGATGGCAACGGCGTTGTGATGCTTGGCAAGGTCATCTCGTGCGAGCGCAAGGAGGAGGGCGGCGCTGGCGGCAAGAAGAAGTAAGCCATGAGCGAGGTCCCGCAGTCGACGCGACGAACGAATGTTCGATCACGCACGTATCCTTCCGGCAACCTGTGATAGAACGCGCTTGCCTTGGCCGTGATCGTGTTGGCTACGGGATTGGCGAAAGACATGTATCACTTACGTGTATATCGAAGGCGCCTCCTGCGAGTCAACGCCGACCCCCAAGAGTTTTTTTGTCATCGGCGAAGAGATGGGGGCAAACCTATTGGCTTTTATGTTTCACCATCTGTTGCGGAAGCAACTAGAGGAATCCATGGGTCCGTGGCTCATATGTTTCCCCAGCCCTCCTGTGTGTTGGGACCTTGTTTTGACTTCGCAGCGCCGCGCGTCTCGTCTTCTCTCCTGCACTTCCTCATCATCGTCATCTTCCCTCTTCCCCAACTCCACCTCATCATCATCATCACCATCGTCATCATCATCATCATCATCATCATCATCATCATCATCATCATCATCATCATCATCATCATCATCATTATGATCATCATCATCATGATCGTCATCGTCATCGTCATCGTCATAGTCATCATCATCATCAACATCATCATCGTCATCGTCATCGTCATCGTCATCGTCATCGTCATAGTCATCATCATCATCGTCATCGTCATCGTCATCGTCATCATCATCATCATCATCATCATCGTGGTCATCATCATCACCATCATTATCATCATCGTCATCATCATCACCATCACCATCACCATCATCACCATCATCATCATCGTGGTCATCATCATCATCACCATCATCATCATCATCGTCATCATCATCACCATCACCATCATCACCATCATCACCACCATCGTCATCGTCATCATCATCGTCATCACCATCATCATCATCGTCATCATCATCATCATCATCATCATCGTCATCATTATCATCACCATCATCATCATCATCATCATCATCATCGTCATCGTCATCGTCATCGTCATCGTCATCGTCATCGTCATCGTCATCGTCATCACCATCGTCACCATCGTCACCATCGTCATCATCATCGTCATCACCATCCTCCCTTCTTCTTCTTCCTCCTCGGGTGGCCCTCTTGGAGCATCGCGCGCCCCACTCCTAGCCTCGCTCGGCGGGGTCTTGCCCTGCGCGTGTGGCGGCCTGGCCCCCTCCCCTCGGGGGGGGAGGGGGCGGCCCGCCTCCCCGCCCGGCCGGCCGCCTCACCCCGGCGGCGCGCCGCCGGGGCCGCAGCTGCGGCTCCCGGATAATCTGCAGCAGCCGCGCCAAATCTCCATGGCAGCTGCTCTGCGGCAGCTCACCACCTACCAAACCACCCCAACCCAACCCGAAGGCCTCCATTTGCCCTCCATTTCCAGGGGGGGGGGGGTCGGGGAACATCGAAAAAACATGTATGGAACCCATACCCCCCCAACCCGAGATTTGGGTCTTCGGGTTGGGTTGGGGGGGGTTGGTAGGTAATCGACAGCGGTCCATGGCCCAGACATGCTCGCGTCTCTCGGGCAGCCCTCGCCGGGCCTCGGGACCCTCAAGCAACGACCAGCGGCATCTCGCTCACGCCCCGTGGCCTGCCGGCTGCGGTGGCTCTCCCCAGAGATCCAACGCATTGGAAGAATCAAGGCGGAGGTTCTTCGCAATTTTCGGCCTCTAGCGGCCCTCGCCGGGCCTCGGGACCCTCAAACAATGACTCAGGATGAAACACCGGTCCCAGGGAAGAGGTCGGGACTTCCAGGGATCGGGGGCGGCAAGGATGGGGGTGAAGATCAGGGGGAGGGGGGATATCATGGCGTGGGCCATGAAGTTTCCCCAGATATTCATGGCGCTTCCTCTCATTCCATTGCGTCCCTGGGCCCCCCCCCCTTGGGCCGCGCACGCGCCGCTGGCCACGACTTGCACCCTCCCTCTTGTCTGCACGAACGAGATGTGAGGAGGGTGAGAGGAAGAGTAGATTCCGATACCTCTACTCGTCCCTCGTCGCCACGGCTAGATTCGACTCGAAATGCGGGCCAGACCGCAGCCCAGAAGTGGTCCTTACCAGCCTGGAACATATCCCTATCCCTATGCTGGGCACCTCCTCATCACGATGCCAATCTTAGGGATTTCCTTATTTTGTTGAGGGCGAATCCCTAAGATTGTCATCGCCTTTTGGCGTGTCAATCTTAGGGATAGGGATACGTTCGAGGCTGGTAAGGTCCAGGGTCCATGGGGTAGGGGTATCGGTATCTTTCCGACTCCCCAGACTCACAGTAAACCAAAGGGAAGCTTTGGTTCTGCGGCGATTGGCTTGCAGTTGAGATGCAGCTGGCTTGCGTCCGCAACGCTGGCTCGAGGTTCAAGCGTCATTAGACGGGGGGCATCTCGCAGGTCTGCGCCCTTTAGCGAAGCAGGGCAGCCATGCCAGCAAATTCCGAGAAGGAGCATCTGTCCATTGTGATCTGCGGCCATGTCGACAGTGGCAAGAGCACCACCACTGGCCGCCTGATCTTCGAGCTGGGCGGACTGCCCGAGCGTGAGCTCGAGAAGCTGAAGGCGGAGGCCGAGCGCCTGGGCAAGGGCTCCTTCGCCTTCGCGTTCTACATGGACCGCCAGAAGGAGGAGCGCGAGCGCGGCGTGACCATCGCTTGCACCACCAAGGAGTTCTACACCGAGAAGTGGCACTACACCGTCATCGATGCCCCAGGCCATCGCGATTTCATCAAGAACATGATCACCGGCGCTTCCCAGGCGGACGTTGCGCTTATCATGGTCCCGGCCGACGGTAATTTCACGACCGCCATCGCCAAGGGCAACCACAAGGCTGGCGAAATCCAGGGGCAGACTCGCCAGCACTCCCGCTTGATCAACCTGCTGGGCGTGAAGCAGATCTGCATTGGCGTCAACAAGATGGACTGTGACACCGCGGGATACAAGCAGTCCCGCTACGACGAGATCGCAAACGAGATGAAGAGCATGCTGGTCAAGGTTGGCTGGAAGAAGGACTTCGTCGAGAAGGGGACGCCAGTGATGCCCATCTCTGGCTGGATGGGCGACAACCTTCTGAAAAAGTCTGACAACATGGGCTGGTGGAAGGGCTGCGATGTCGAGTACGGCAAGGAGACCATCCACGTGGACACCGTCTACGATGTGCTTGACGTGATGTGCCGCGTGCCAGAGCGGCCCACCAGCGCGCCAATGCGTATGCCGATCTCCGGCATCTACAAGATCAAGGGCGTCGGCGATGTGCTCGCTGGGCGCGTGGAGCAGGGCGTGGTGAAGCCGGGCGAGGAGGTCGTGTTCCTGCCCACGCACACCGCTTCGAACCCGTGCACTGGCAAGGTGTTCACCGTGGAGATGCATCACCAGCGCGTCGATTTCGCCAATCCCGGGGACAACGTTGGCCTCAACATCAAGGGGCTCGACAAGAATAACATGCCCCGCTCGGGCGACGTGATGGTCTACAAGAAGGACACCACCCTGGGTCAGACAAAGGAGTTCGACGCGCAGATCCAGGTGCTCGACATCCCCAACGAGATCAAGGTCGGCTACTCCCCGATCGGCTTCGTGCGCTGCGGGCGCGCGGCGTGCCGCATCAGCAAGCTGAAGTGGAAGATGGGCAAGGAGACGGGCGGCAAGAAGATGGAGGATCCCCACTCCCTCAAGTCCAACGAGATGGCTCAGTGCAGCTTCCAGCCGCAGCAGCCGCTGGTGTGCGACACCTTCAAGAACTGCGAGGGCCTGTCGCGCGTGGCGTTCATGGATGGCAACGGCGTTGTGATGCTTGGCAAGGTCATCTCGTGCGAGCGCAAGGAGGAGGGCGGCGCCGGCGGCAAGAAGAAGTAAGCCTGGAGTGTCATCCCGCAGTCGACGCGACGATTTCTTGACCACATACAGTGTCCATGGTCTTCCTGCCCCCTCTGAGAGAGCGTGTGCCCGCCCCGGCCGTGCCAGACGTTTTGGTATGACATTCGCTTGGCAACGGGAGGCGCCATCTACCAAGGCTACGGTATAATATTACGTTGCACAGTAATAGCAATAGGTGCATTCCCCGATCAGTGCTTGCACTGCAGGGGTCGTAGCGGATATTGAAGGATTTGGCGGATGTTCCCCCTGCTGATTTCTGTCGGCGGCTGGGTTTCTGGGTTCCTGGTTCTGAGTTCTGGTCGGATTTCGGTGTGCGGCCGGGTTTCTGGGGTCCTGGTTCTGGGTTGGGGCTTCTCGGCACTGGAGGGTTCCTGGTTTCTCGAGACCGTGGTTGTGGCCAAGTGCCCAGGTCCTTTCGACCATGGTCAGGATGAGAGTGTATCTCGTGGCCTTTGGTCCATCCCGCCACCGGGCCTGGGTTGCGGTTCCGAGTTCTCATGGATGCGTCTTGGGGATCTCTCTCGGAGGGCTCTCGGGGTTTTTGGGGGCAGTTTTCATGCCTCTTGGCAGTTTTTGGGGGCTGGGATGGTCTTGGAGGCAGTTTTTTTTTTTTTTTTGGGGGGGGGGGGGCAGTTTTTGGGAGGTAGCTTTTGGAGGGCAGTTTTGAAGCTTCTTGGGAGCTTCTCGGTGGCCTCGCGGGCCCTCCTGGGGGCTTCTTGGGGGACTGGAAGCATCTTGGGGGCCTCTTGGGGGCCTCTCTTGGGGGCCTCTTGCGGCCTTCAGGGGGCCCCTCTTGGGCCGTGGGCTCGAAATGTCCGTTCGGGTTCCCCATCTGGGCCCCTCTTGGGGCCGTCTCGGGGCCCTCTTGGGCCGTCTTGGGCGCCTCTTGGGCCGTCTTGAACGCCTCTTGGGCCGTCTTGGTGCCCGCCTGGGCCGTCTTGGGGCCCGGACCGTCTTGGGGCGATCGGCCTCTCGGCGGCCCATCGAGGCACCCTGCCGCCCGTGCCGCCTCGTGAGCGCTCGTGGGCGCCCCGTGCCTTGGGCGGGTCCGCCGAGGTTGGCGCCGCGTTGCTTCCTGTGCCGCCTGGGTGCTCGTGGGAGCCTCTTGCGCCGGGCGGCTCCGCCGAGGGTGCGCCACGTTGCCGCCCGTGCCGTCTCGTGGGCTCTCGTGGGCGCCCCGTGCGCTGAGCTTACACCACACAGCCTGCGCCGCATAGCTTGCACGGCACAGCTTATACCACATCGCTTGCAAGGCAGTTTCGCGCTGCATATATTACACCACGTAGTTTCAACCCCATCGCTTCCATTTCCGTCTCGGAGGACATGTATTCCACAGTTTAGCACACAATACACTGAATGTGCTGAGTAGTTTCACTTCGATAGCTCACACCACATGGCTTACACGGCAGAGTTTGCACAGCATATCTTACACCGCATAGTTTACACCTCCACAGTGCAATGAGTCACTGTTTGGGGTCCACGCTGGCTGGCGCACACACGCACACACACACACACGCACACGTACAGTTATATACCTAGTTGCCTTCGGCCCATACCGCCACCGTGCCTGGGATGTGGGTCAGAGTTCTCAGGGATGCTTCTTCGGGTCCCTTCGGAGCGCCCTCGGGAGCCTCTTGGGAGCAGTTTAGGGGGCCTCTTGGGAGCCTCTCGGGGGCCTTTGGGGGGCCTCTGGGGGCCTCTTGGGGGCCTCTTGATGCCTCTCGGGGGCCTCTTGGGGCCTCTTGCGGCCTCCTGGGGGCCCCTCTTGGGGTGAGGGCTCGAAATGTCCATTCGGGTTCCCTATCTGGGCCCCCCTTGGGGCCGTCTCTGGGCCCTCTTGGGCCGTCTTGGGCGCCTCTTGGGCTGTCTTGGGTGCCTCTTGGGCCGTCTTGAGGCCCTCTTGGGCCGTCTTGGGGCCCTCTTGGAGGCCTTTGGTGAAGTCTTGAGGCGATCTTGGGGGCCTCGTGGGCCGTCTTGGAGCGTCTAGAAGCAGAAAAGGCGAGAACGCCAACGTGTTTGACACACTCATTGGGCATCTATGATTTTGGCCTTTTGGGGCCCCCTTGGGAGGCCTCTTGGAGGCCTCTGGGGGTGTACCGTCGTGGGGCCGTCTTGGGCGTCTTCGAGTGCTTGATCGGCGATTCGGAGCACTCTTGGATCATCTTAGGGGTTTCTTGGGGCTCTCCTGGCCCGTCTTGGACCCCTCTTGGGCCCCAAACAGTCATGCAACAAGCCGCGGGGAACCGCAACAAGCCCAAGAAGATTTGAGAATTCGCGGTCTGGGCCCTTTAAAGGCTCCTCAGGAGTGAGGATTGAGGCTTCGAGGATTGGGGCGCGCCCACTCCGTGCCAGGCGGCACGTTTGGCGGATAGCTGGAGCAGTCCTGGCTACTTCCTAGACGCTGCCTGCCTTCAGGGACTGCCTCTCTGTAGAGATGCTTCCTTGAGCTGCTTGAGTGATTGGACGGGTCAGCCGAGGATTCTCCGCATGCCCGCCCGTGGGCGTTCGTGATGATGATGATGATGACGATGATGACGATGCTGCTGATGATGATGATGATGATGATGATGATGGTGGTGGTGATGGTGGTGGTGATGGTGATGCTGATGATGATGATGATGATGATGATGATGATGATGCTGATGATGATGATGCTGATGATGATGCTGATGCTGATGATGATGATGATGCTGCTGATGATGATGTTGATGATGATGATGCTGATGATGATGATGACGATGATGATGATGATGATGATGATGCTGATGCGATGCTGATGCTGATGCTGATGATGGTGATGATGATGATGATGAGGATGAGGATGGATGAGGATGAGGATGATGATGATGAGGATGAGGATGAGATGAGGATGATGATGATGATGAGATGATGAGGATGAGTGAGGATGAGGATGAGGATGAGATGAGGATGATGATGATGATGATGATGATGATGATGATGATGATGATGATGATGATGATGATGATGATGATGATGATGATGATGTTGATGATGATGATGATGATGATGATGATGATGATGATGAGGAGGAGGAGGAGGAGGAGGAGGAGGAGGAGGAGGAGGAGGAGTTGGAGGAGGAGGAGGAGGATTTTGAGGCATAGAGACGCCGTCAAATATGACCTTTTGTATTCATGCCATCTCTCCTGGGGCTCATCTCGCTCTCCTGCCCTCCTGCGGGGCGGTCTTGGGGATCCCTCTGGGACCGGCTTGGGGCCAACTTGGACCGTCGTGTGTCTCTCTTGGGCCGCCATGGGGGCTCTCCTGGCCGTGTGGGGTGTCGGGGGGCCGTCCTGGGGCCGTCCCAGCACCGTCTTCGGCCACTGCGGGGTCTTCCCAGACCGTCGCGGGTCGCTCCAGCGGCCCTATCGGGGCCGCCTTGGGGCCGTCTTGGGGCCGTCTCGGACGCCTATTGCGCCATCGTGGGGTCCTCGTGGGTCATCTTTGGGATCCTCTTGGGGACCCGTTGGGCCGTTTTGGGGCTGTCTTGGAGGCTTCTTGGGCTGTCTTTTGGCGGAAGCCCGCCAAAGCGAGAATACGAAGACACATTCAACAACCTGAAGGAAAGCAACGGTTTGGGCTTCTTCGGACCCTGTTCGGAGTCCTCTTCTGACTCTACTGGGCTCTCTTGGAGGTATCGTGCGCCGTCTTAGGGCTATACTGGGCCGTGTTGGGGCTTTCCGGGACCGTTCTGTGGGCATCCTTGACAATCTTGGTGGCCCTGGTTGCCTGCCTGGGCCGTCTTGAAGCACGGGTCGCGGACTTACTTGCGAGGGGTCGTGGTCTCGGCAGCGCGGGCCCATCGTGTTTTTTACCAGGGATCGCGGCCGCGGAAGCGCGGATCCATTTGCTTGACTGATGAGCGGGGGCTCGGGAGGGAGGGGGAGGTGTGCGTGCGCGAGTCTGCGAGCAGAGGGGGCACCACTTGTTAGAACACAGAAGTCCTGCCAGGCAGACCTCGGCATTCTTCCACGCCTCAGCGTGCCAGTTGGCATGGTGGTACACACACATATGCACATACTTTTACACACATATATGTGTATATATATATATATATATGCATATATATATATATATATGCATACATGTTGCATACATGCATACATGCATACATACATACATACATACGTACGTACGTACGCACGTACGTACATAGATACATACATAAGTACATCCCGGAGATCCTCCCAGGAACACGATTGTCGACATCAGCCCGACGAGGAAGACGAAGAGGAGGAAGAGGAGGAGGGGCTCCGAGGGCTCCGATGATACGAGTCTCTCCTAGAGACCCCTGGCGCGCCGGCCGACGCGCGGATCCATGCCCGCGCCAGGTGTTTCGAGCTGCGCCTAGCGGCGGCGACCCGCCACAGGCGGAAAACGGGCCCAACGGCCCCAGAAAAAGAGGCGGATCTTGCGGTGGCGTCATGCAGCCCCAGCCACCCCGAGGACCCTTCGACTGATCAACCTCTTAGGCTGTGCACAGCGACTCGAGCAGTCCGCCGAACTCCTTGGCGTTGCCACTCCCGCGGAATGCTCCACGGCTCCGAGCGGACTGCTCCGCCCGTCTGGTCTGCCAGAGCGCCCTTCACAGCAACCATCTGATGGCTCATCTCCACGCGATTGCCGTACACTATGCACAGCACTCCGAAGGAATCGCCGACGATGGCATACGAGGCAATCTCGAACGAGTAGCCGATGCCGCCCGACCCCCATACCCGTGGCGACTGCGCCGAGATCTCAGTGCTTCCCAGCCGGGGTCGCCTCCTTTGGCGGTAGATCATCATGCTCAACACCGGATGCCGTCTACCGCCGCCATTGGCCCCGCCCCCGCTGCGCCACTTCCAAGTGCGCGAGGGCTGCACCTCCCTGAGGGGAAATGGCTACGAGGAGGATGAGGGGGAGGCGGAGGAGGAGGAGGAGGAGGAGGAGGAGGAGGAGGAGGAGGAGGAGGAGGAGGAGGAGGACAGGGAAACGGCAAACAGCGGCAAATCAGGAGGCAACATATGAAGATGAACCATCCGACAACAATGAGGATGCCGGCCCGCGCGGGCCCCAAGGCCGCCCCAGGGGCGCCCCAGTCGGCCCAGAATGGTCAAAGACAGAGGCGCAGGAACGGCCCCCAAGAGGCCCCCGCGCGGCTGCAGTCAACATCCAACCGGATATCCTACATGCTCTCGGCCCACGATCCAGGAACGGCGGCGGGATGGGCCGAAGCCAACTCTGGTCTGTGTCGTAAGCCCCCCCACGCTCTTGCTCACCCTCCTCCAGTTGGCCTTGCCAGCTCCAGCCGTTTTTGCTTTGTTAACTACCTCACACCTCCTCCATTTCCTTTCCAGTCTCCACGTTCTCACCCCGCTCTTTCTAGGTCTGTCGAATGATTCATTTGGGCCGTCCTGCAGGTGTTGCAGCTTCACTTGGGACGACTGGCGGCGACAATCACGTTCCCGGTAAGCCTGCCGGGAATACGATTTTCGCCGCCAGTCGAAAAGAGGAAGAGGAGGGCGAGGAGGGGGAGAGGCACGCGGAGACACAGCACGCAGGTGAGCATAACGAGAAGGATGAAGAGGATGATGATGATGATGATGATGATGATGATGATGATGATGATGATGATGCTGATGCTGCTGCTGCTGCTGCTGCTGATGATGATGATGATGATGATGATGATGATGATGATGATGATGATGATGATGATGATGATGATGATGATGATGATGATGATGATGATGATGATGATGATGATGATGATGATGATGATGATGATGATGATGATGATGATGATGATGATGAGGATGAGGATGAGGATGAGGATGAGGATGAGGAGGAGGAGAGGAGGAGGGAGAGGAGGAGGAGGAGGAGGAGGAGGAGGAGGAGGAGGAGGAGGAGGAGGAGGATGAGGATGAGGATGAGGATGAGGAGGAGGAGGAGGAGGAGCCCGCCGATCTGAGTGAGGGGTGCCACCGAATGTCAGAATTGTGGCGAATCCCTTGGCTTTTGGAACCTTACCCCGCCGATCTGCGTGAGGGGCGCTAGCAAATTTCAGAAATGTGGCAATTTTTTTTGGGGGGGGGAGCCTGACCCCGCCGATATGCGTGAGGGGTGTCGCCGAATGTCGGAAATGTAGCAAATCCTTTGTGTTTTTGGACCCTGACCCCGCCGATCTGCGTGAGGGGTGTCAATTTTACCCACCCCAGCAATTCAGAGCACACGCTCAGGGCGTGGTCAAAATGTCCGTTTTGGGCCTCCCCACCTCGCGCGGTCCATCATCAAGGAACAGTAAGCAACAAGAAGCAGAACTGTAACAAGGAACAGTAAGCAGCAAGAAGCAGAACTGTAACAGTTGAAACTGGAAGCTACAACTGGTGCAGGAAACTTCGAATCTTAGGCCTACAGCCTGGTGGCCCCGCAAGGGGGCCGGCGGAATTTTGCCGCTTGGGGCCCTCACGGGAGACCTTTTGGGGGCCTTTTCGGGCGTCTTGGAGGCCGTTTGGGCCGTCTTAGGGCCATTTGGGCGTCTCGGACCAATCGTTTGGCGATTCCGGGCCCTGTTGGACCGTGTTGGGAGCCTCTTGGGGCCCTCTGGGCCCATCTTGGGGCCGTCGTGTGCCCGAAAGAGTCACGCGTGGACACGCGCCGGAGCCCAGAGGGCACGCGGGAAGCCCCACGAGATTCTGGACATTGGGGTCTGGGTTCCTTCAGGATTGAGGGTCGAGGCGGAGAGGATTGGGCCTGGGACCTGAGGACACGCACACTCCGTGCCCAGCGGCACGGTGGCGGGCGATGTGTACGTGCGCATATATGCATATGTGTGCATGTCAGTGCTGATGCGTATGTAGGTAGGGAGGTCGGTATGTATGTACGCATGACCGTATTTATCGTCTGTCTGTTTGTTGGTCCGTGTGTCTGCCCGATTGTGTGCACGCCTTTGCTTGCGGACGACGTGTCCAAGCCAGGTCCCACATTGAGTTCGGAAGGGGCTCCTTGCCTCGTAGGTGTTCCGATCAGCGACGCTCCTTCCCTCCTCCTGCGTTCTCCTCTCTCCCACCTCCCTGCTCCCTTCCTCCGTGGCTGCCCGCCTCTTCCTCCCCTCCCCTGTTTCCTGCTACCTCCTCTCCTCCCTGTCCTTCTGGTCGGAGGCTCAAAGGGCGTGGCCGGACAGGAAGCCTCGTTGCGTAGGTCCGCTCAGGGTTGCGGCAGCCATGCCGGCCAATTCGGAGAAGGACTCCAAACCGCCGCCGTCGTTGTCGTCGTCCTTTTCCGCCTCGTCCCTTTTCCCTCCCTACTCCCTCCCCTCCCTCATTCCTCCATCTACAATCGTTCAGTATCGATACCATCCTCTCTCCTCAGACTGTGCGAGCGGGGTGCCGTTCCTTCCGCATGTTTGTGTGGTTACGCCAAAGATGATATGTTTTAGCGTCGCGAGATTGTGTGTGTGTGCACGTTTCCAATCGGAGCGTCTTTCGCTTGTCAGAACGGTGCTCCCGCTGCAGCGCTGGCCTTCTTTCAGGATCGGAGCTTCGCGCCCCCGTCGTTCGGACTGGCCCTCCCGCCTAAGCGCGGGCCACGTTTTTCTCGAGGGCGCCCGCGCGGGCGCGAAGCGTTCTTCGCGTTTCGCGCCTCGCGGTTCGGCTCCGGCTCCTCGTCCTCCTCTTCTCCCGTGGGGGGGGGGGCCGCGCGGAAACGCGAAGTTCTTCGCGCTCTCGCGCTTCGCGCGCAGAGCGAGGGCGCGAAGAATGGGCGCCCGAATTTTGTTTTTGGATCCGGTTCCCTTCCTCCTAGGCGCTGCCGCACCCGTCCTCTCCCCCTCCTCCTGCCTTCTGCCCCGGGCCTCCTGCTCTTCCAGCTCCTGCTGTTGCTGTTCGTCCTCCTGTCGGACGGGGCTACGACGAGGATACATCCGTTCCAGAGCGTTCCGGAACGCCGCGGCGTCCGAGACATCTCCAGAGCCGCCAGATCTCAGAGATTCTCGATTTATCCTCACCCGAATGTGTCTTCCACCTGGGCCTCCCGCTCCTCCCGCTCCTGATGCTGCTGTTCCGCTTCCTGGGCCTCCTGCTCCTCCCGCTCTTCCTGCCCTCCCGCTCTTCCTCCTCCTCCTCCTCCTCCTCCTCCTCCTCCGCCTCCTCCTCCTCCTCTTCGAAGGAGGAGGAGGAGGAGGAGGAGGAGGAGGAGGAGGAGGAGGAGGAGGGGGGGGAGGAGGAGGAGAACGAGGAGGAGGAGGAGGAGGAGGAGGAGGAGGAGGAGGAGGAAAAGGTGGAGGAGGAGGAGGGGGAGGGGGAGGAGGAGGGGGAGGAGGACTGGGCCTCCTGCTCCTCCTGGGCCTGCTGCTCCTCCCGCTCCTGCTGCGGCTCCTGCTGCCCTCCCCTGGGTCGCCTGCTCCCCGCGCCCCTCCCGCTCCTGCCGATGGTGCCTCCTCCCCGGCCTTCTCGGCGGCGGGCGAGGGGGGGGGAGGCGAGAGAGGGAGGACTTGGCATCGCTCGGACGTGTGCATTTTTCCTTCGGCGAGGCCCATCGAGGAGCATTCTCGATCATTTGGCGAACAAAACCGCGCACGAAACCGAAAAACAAAACACAGGGAACGGACGTCCGAGCGACGGCGAGGAGAGGGAGGAGGCCTTCTCGGAGGGCGGCGGGGCTTCTCAGGAGCCCCTCGCGCCTTCCGAGAGGTCCTCTGTGCCGTCGGGGAGAGCCTGGAAGACTCCTCCCCGAAGGCCGGGGGGACCTCCGAGCCATCTGCGAAGGCCTTCTCTTCACTTCTCTCCTGGGCTCGCCGCCGATCCTCCTCCTTCCGCATCTGCCAGCTCCTCCTCATGCTCATCCGCCAGCGCCTCCTCCAGCTCCTCTTCCTGATTGTGCATCACACGACGGGTGTTCTTTTCGGGCTTCAGGTCCGCTAGGGCCCCCCGTCGAAAACGCAACGCAACGAAAAGGGATGCGTGGGATGGGTAAGATGCCCCATATTCTGCCCGCGCAGATGGCCTGCCCTTTCCTCCCTCTCCTTTCTGTCCCCCCCATTGTTTCCCCTCTCCTTTCTCCCCTCCCTCCTCCTCCCCCCTTCCCTGCCACATGGTGCTGGGAGAATGACACATCTGCTGACAGCATCTGCATTCTGTCTGGCAACTGCCACGTGCCGTTCCACTGGAGGCCGTGACCGCAAAAGCTTGCGACTGCATTGGGCCGCGGCGCGACGTCGAAGCAGCTGCATTGCTGTCCTTCCTCCGGAGGTCCACCTGCTGTCTCTGCAACCCTGCCTGGTGCGAGCCTATCCGATTCTGCCAACGCTGTCTGCAGACAGTGCCTGAACTGTGACGAACCCGACAGCGGGCCCTGTTTTGAGGTCCGCGATCTCGCACCGTCAGGTTGCGCAGTTTCCGCACACGTCCCGCTTCTTGTGCCGGCGTCTGCCTGTGTGGATCGATCCGCGCCGCGATGGCGTCACACTGCTTGGGCAGCATGCGAGCTTGGCTGCATGCTTGGGAGCATGCGTATGTGCGGTCATGCTAACGGGCTGACCTGAATCCATACGAGAAGCACGTTTACATTGCCAGTCTCACCACCAGCCTGGAGGCCGTGGAATCCATCGTCGTTGTCTGACGGCAGGGTCCGTGCTTGACGCACAGGATCAGGAGGGAAAGAAACACACAGACACAAGTAATCGTCGATTCCCCAGAAAGCATGGGAAACTATGGGAAATGGGGGGGGGAAGACAGGAACCCAGAACAGATGGGAAAGTATGGGAAAATATGGGAAGTGGGGGGGGGAAGACAGGAACCCCGAACATGTGGGAAAATATGGGGAATCGTGTTGTTTGTGCCTCTTTATCTGTGTGTCCCAGGGCCCCTGCACAGGACAGACCCCAACACATAATACGCAGGGCTGCCTGGGTCTGCCCAAGGATGGGGTGGAGGCAGGGCGTTAAGTTGGGCCTGTCCCTCTACAGTTAAGTCGGGCCTGTCCCCCTACAGGGGGATTTTCGACGAACAATAAAAAATACCCACAAATAGGCAAACAATAGTTTCAAAATAGTCAGGGGACTATTTTTTGATTTTTTTGGGGTATCTTTTGGCTTTTTTTTTTTTTTTTTTTTTTTTTTTTTTTTTTTTTTTTTTTTTTTTTTTTTTTTTTTTTTTTTTTTTTTTTTTTTTTTTTTTTATATATATATATATATATATTTGTATTTTTCGTCGAAGATCCCCCTGTAGGGGGGACACGCCCGAATTAACTCTACAGGAGGAATCGGAGGTTGGGGGGTGAGATCGCAGTGGGACGGAGACCCCCAACCAGGAAGTCGTTTCGTCTCGTTCGTGCCGCGCGTGCGGGCGGGGCGAAGCTGCGTGGGCGCGCGAGAGGAACGAACCCGCCGTTACCAGGGCGAAGCCGAGACAATGATTCTCCTCCGTCCGTCCGGCGTGGCCCTAGCGGTGTCCCGCGGTGTCCCGTTGTGGCCGTGGTGTCCCGTGGCGTCCCGTGGTGTCCTATGGTGTCCTATGGTGTCTCGTGGTGTCCCGTTGAGTGAGATCGATAGTGAGATCGATAGTGAGATCGATAGTGAGATCGATAGTGAGACCGATAATGAGATCGAGAGATGCCTCGTGGTGTCCCGTGGTGTCCCTTTGAGTGAGATCGATAGTGAGACCGATGGTGAGATAGACAGGTGTCCCGTGGTGACCCGTGGTGTCCCGCGGTGTCCCGTTGAGTAAGATCGATAGTGAGATCGATATTGAGATCGATGTGGTGCCCCGAGGTGTCCCGTGGTGTCCTATGGTGTCCCGTTGAGTGAGATCGATAGTGAGATCGATAGTGGGACCGATCGTGAGATCTAGAGGTGTCCCGCGGTGTCCCGTGGTGTCCCCTGGTGGCCCGTGGTGTCCCGTGGTGTCTCTTCGAGTGAGATCGATAGTGAGATCGATAGTGAGATCGACAAGTGTCCCGTGGTGTCCTGTGGTGTCCCGTGGTGTCCCGTTGTGTGAGATCGGTAGTGAGATCGATTGAGTTAGATGTTGGTTCCCCCTCCTCTCCCCCCCACAACCTCCTTCTCACCCGAAGGGTGACTACGTTTTAGTGTTTCCCAGACCTCCTGCGTTGGGTTCGTTTTGAATATAGAGCAGTGCGGTCTCCATGCTTCTCCTCCTTCCTCCCTTCTCCCCGCCTCCCTGGGGTGCTGCTGTCTGCGAAACTGTGGTTCGAGGGCTGCTGGGGGGGCCAGCACAGTGGGTACCCGCCGCGGATTCAGATTAGACCTCGCCATCCGTGGGGGGCTGCGATCTGCGAAACTGTCGCCACTTTCGAGGGCTGCTGGGGGCCAGCATAGTGGGCACTCGCCGCAGATTCAGATTAGACCTCGCCGTTCCTGGGGGGCTGCGATCTGCGAAACTGTCGCCACTTTCGAGGGCTGCTGGGGGGACCAACATAGTGGGTATCCGCCGCGGATTCAGATTAACCCTCGCCAACCCTCGGGTGGCTGCGATCTGTGAAACTGTCGCCACTTATGGGGGCTGCTGGGGGGACCAGCATAGTGGGCACCCGCCGCGGATTCAGATTCGACCTCGCCATCCCTCGGGGGCTGCGATCTATGAAATTGTCGCCACGTTCGAGGGCTGCTGGGGGGCCAACATATTGGGCACTCGCCGCAGATCCAGATTAGTCGTCGCCATCCCTGGGGGGCTGCGACCTGCGAAGTTGTCGCAACTTTCGAGGGCTGCGGGGGGGGGGGCAGCATAGTGGGTACCCGCCGCGGATTCAGATTAGACCTCGCCATTCTTGGGGGGCTGCGATCTGCGAAACTGTCGCCACTTTCGAGGGCTGCTGGGGGGGGGCAGCATAGTGGGTACCCGCCGCGGATTCAGATTTGACCTCGCCATTCCTTGAGGGGCTGCGACCTGCGAAACTGTCGCCACTTTCGAGAGCCGCCCTGGGGGGCAGCATAGTGGGTACTTAACCCGCCGCGGATTCAGATCATCCCTGGATGGCTGCGATCTGCAACATTGTCGCCAGTTTCGGGGGCTGCTGGGGGGACCAGCATAGTGGACACCCGCCGCAGATTCAGATTCGACCTCGCCATCCCTCGGGGGGCTGCGATCTGCCACCACTTTCGAGGGCTGCTGGGGAGGGCAGCATAGTGGGCACCCGCCGGCCGCGGATTCAGATTAGACCTCGCCATTCTTGGGGGGCTGCGATCTGCGAAACTGTCGCCACTTTCGAGGGCTGCTGTGGGGGGCCACATAGTGGGTACCCGCCGCGGATTCAGATTAGACCTCGCCATTTTTGGGGGGCTGCGATCTGCGAAACTGTCGCCGCTTTCGAGGGCTGCTGGGGGGGGCAGCATTTTGGGTACTCGCCGCAGATTCAGATGTGACCTCGCCATCCCTTGGGGGCTGCGAACTGAGAAGTTGTCGCCACTTTCGAGGGCTGCTGGGGGCCAGCATCGTGGGTGCTCGCCGCAGGCTCAGATTAGATCTCGCCGTCCCTGGGGCGCTGCGATCTGCGAAACTGTCGCCACTTTTGGGGGCTGCTGGGGGGACCAGCACAGTGGGCACCCGCCGCGGATTCAGACTTGACCTCGCCATCACTCGGGGGCTGCGATCTGTGAAGCTGTTGCCACTTTCGAGGGCTGCTGGGGGGACCAACATAGTGGGTACTCGCCGCAGCTTCAGATTCGACCTCGCCGTCCCTGGGTGGCTGCGATCTGTGAAACTGTCGCCACTTTCGAGGGTTGCTGGGGGGCCAACAGATCGGGCACTCGCCGCAGATTCAGATTAGACCTCGCCATCCCTGGGGGGCTGCGATCTATGAAACTGTCGCCACGTTCGAGGGCTGCTGGGGGGCCATCATAGTGGGCACTCGCCGCAGATTCAGATTAGACCTCGCCATCCTTGTGGTGCTGCAACCTGCGAAGCTGTCGCCACGTTCGAGGGCTGCTGGGGGGGAGACACTCTTTGGGGGCTGCGATCTATGAAATTGTCGCCACTTTCGAGGGCTGCTGGGGGGGGGCAGCATAGTGGGTACTCGCCGCAGATTCAGACGTGACCTCGCCATCCTTGAGGGGCTGCGACCTGCGAAACTGTCGCCACTTTCGAGGGCTGCTGAGAGCCAGCGTAGGCCAGCGCTGCATGTTTAGCCAGCTACTGAAGACAGCGGTGCTCATCTGTTTCCTCCCACCACTGTCATCGTCACCCTATTCCCCCTGTCACCTGTTCTGTTCTGCTGCTGCCGCGATGGCTCCCCGCCCTCACAACTCCGTCATTATTCTGCCCGTCGTTTCCGCCCCCGATCCTCGTCCCGTCGATTGCTGTCCTGTGAGTCGTGCAACGTGCGCGCATCCCATGTAGCTTGCACACCAATTCGCCGCGCCAGCAGTGTCGTTGTTCCTGCCGATATTGTCCTACATTTCTTTCCACTCGAACAAAAGGGTTGGGTACGTAGCAGGGTAGTTCGGCCAAAATCCCCCTGTAGGAGGACATGCCCGACCTAAAGGTAGGAAGAGCGAGTGAGTGAGGTAGAGTGGGGGGAGGTACGACGATTCAGGAAGGGGGGGAGACATTGATGGCGATGAGTCCTCTTGCATGTCAGGGCGGTTGTCGCGCTTCTATCCGCCGCTAGCGATTACAGGTGCCATGCCGTCTTCCCGTCTCCCTCTGCACGTGTGCTGCTACCTGCGATGGTCATTCGGTCTTAGTCTGCTCTTGTGCCTGTACCTGTAGGCGTCTCGAAAAGCATAAGACGGGTATGCTTGTTGTTGACGGTATCGCCCTTTGGAACGTCATTGCGGTCCTCAGGGCCATGAACACACCCCGCGGCGAAACGCCTGTCGAGAGCCGCAGGGCCCATGTAGAGCAAAAACACGGCGTCGGCAGTCGGGTCCGCTGTGCGAGGAGCATCTGTCCATTGTGATCTGCGGCCACGTCGACAGTGGCAAGAGCACCACCACTGGCCGCCTGATCTTCGAGCTGGGCGGACTGCCTGAGCGTGAGCTCGAGAAGCTGAAGGCGGAGGCCGAGCGCCTAGGCAAGGGCTCCTTCGCCTTCGCATTCTACATGGACCGCCAGAAGGAGGAGCGCGAGCGCGGCGTGACCATCGCGTGCACCACCAAGGAGTTCTACACCGAGAAGTGGCACTACACCGTCATCGATGCCCCAGGCCATCGCGATTTCATCAAGAACATGATCACTGGCGCTTCCCAGGCGGACGTTGCGCTTATCATGGTCCCGGCCGACGGTAACTTCACGACCGCCATTGCCAAGGGCAACCACAAGGCTGGCGAGATCCAGGGGCAGACTCGCCAGCACTCCCGCTTGATCAACTTGCTGGGCGTGAAGCAGATCTGTATTGGCGTCAACAAGATGGATTGTGACACCGCTGGATATAAGCAGTCCCGCTATGACGAGATCGCAAACGAGATGAAGAGCATGCTGGTCAAGGTTGGGTGGAAGAAGGACTTCGTCGAGAAGGGGACGCCGGTGATGCCCATCTCTGGCTGGATGGGCGACAACCTTCTGAAAAAGTCTGACAACATGGGCTGGTGGAAGGGCTGCGATGTCGAGTACGGCAAGGAGACCATCCACGTGGACACCGTCTACGATGTGCTTGACGTGATGTGCCGCGTGCCGGAGCGTCCCACCAGCGCGCCAATGCGCATGCCGATTTCCGGCATTTACAAGATCAAGGGTGTCGGCGATGTGCTCGCTGGGCGCGTGGAGCAGGGCGTGGTGAAGCCGGGCGAGGAGGTAGTGTTCCTGCCCACGCACACCGCTTCGAACCCGTGCACTGGCAAGGTGTTCACCGTGGAGATGCACCACCAGCGCGTCGACTTTGCCAACCCTGGGGACAACGTTGGCCTCAACATCAAGGGCCTCGACAAGAACAACATGCCCCGCTCGGGCGACGTGATGGTCTACAAGAAGGACACCACGCTGGGTCAGACGAAAGAGTTCGACGCGCAGATCCAGGTGCTCGATATCCCCAATGAGATCAAGGTCGGCTACTCCCCGATCGGCTTCGTGCGATGCGGGCGCGCGGCGTGCCGCATCAGCAAGCTGAAGTGGAAGATGGGCAAGGAGACGGGCGGCAAGAAGATGGAGGACCCCCACTCCCTTAAGTCCAACGAGATGGCTCAGTGCAGCTTCCAGCCGCAGCAGCCGCTGGTGTGCGACACCTTCAAGAACTGCGAGGGCCTGTCGCGCGTGGCGTTCATGGACGGCAACGGCGTTGTGATGCTTGGCAAGGTCATCTCGTGTGAGCGCAAGGAGGAGGGCGGCGCCGGTGGCAAGAAGAAGTAAGCTGGGAGAGAGGCGAGCTTTCGATCACGCACGTATCCTTCCGGCATCCTGTGAGAGAACGCGCGCCCGCCTTGGCGTGACTTTGTTGGCTACGGGATTGGCGAAAGAAATGCACACTACGTACGAGTATATCGAAGCCGCCTCCAGCGAGCCAAGACGATCTGTGTCTTCCCCCAGCTGTTGTGTCACTTCCTCAAGCAATGCTTGCATTTAGGGGCTCTTACTTGTCTTCTAAGGAACTGGGCCTGCGTGGCGGTCTGGTGGCTCCCTGGTCGCCGTCGCCGCCCCGCCGCCGCCCGTCGTCTGGGCCTGCATGGCGGGCGGCCTGGCGGCTCCGTGGTCGGCGCCGCCGCCCCGTCGCCGCCCGTCGTCTGGGCGTGGTTGGCGCTCTGGCGGCTCCGTGCTCGCCATCGCCGCCTCGTCGCCGCCCCGTCGCCGCCCGTCGTCAGGGCCGCCCCGACGCTCTGGCGGCTGTGTGCTCGCCGTCGCCGCCGCCCGTCGTCAGGGCCGCCCTGACGGTCCGGCGGCTCCGTGGCCGCCGTCGCCGCCGCCCCGTCGCCGCCTCGTCGCCGCACAGCGTCTGGGCGGGCCTGACGGTCCGGCGGCTCCGTGGCCGCCGCCGCCGCCGCCGCCCCGTCGCGGCCCGTCGTCGGGGCGCGATCGGTGGTCTGGCGGCTCCCCGTCGCCGCCCCGTCGCCGCCTCGCTCTTGTTTTGCACTGCTCTGCGTTGCGCTACATTGCTTTACATTGCCCTGCATGAGATGTCATTGGTTTGCGTTGCGTTGCCACGCTCTTCACGGCTTCGCATTGATTTGCGTTGATTGGCTCTGCATGGCTTTGCGTTGCCTTGCATTGGCTTGCACTGCTCTGCGTTGGTTTGCATGGGTTTGCATTCATTTGCTCTGCTGCGTCATTTAGTATTTCTCTGCGTTGCGTTGCCTTGCAACGCATTGCTTCGCATTACTTGCTTTGCGTTGCCTTGTACTGCCTTACATTGTTTGGCATTTCTTTGCCTGGCTTTGCGTTGCATCACTTTGCGTTGCTTGGCATTGCTTCGCATTGCTTGGTATTCGTTTGCAGGGCATCGCGCAGTCGGGAGGGGAGAGGGCGGAGGAGAAGGAGGAGGAGGAGGAGGAGGAGGAGGAGGAGGAGGAGGAGGAGGAAGGGAGGAGGCGGGCCCAGCTGACGGAGGTCTAGACTCACGAGGCCCAGACGGCTCCGCGGCTCCTCGGCTCCGCCGCTCGCAGCCCGGAAGGGCGGTGGGGCGAAGGTGGAACGAGGATCGAAGTTCAAGATGTTGGGCGTGATCGTGCCGTTCGTGAATGTATGCGCATGTCCCCCGAACAGTGCTTGCACTTGGGGGTTCTCATTCCTTCTCGAAGGAGCTCGGCGGGCCCGTCGGCATGGCGGCTGAATGGTCGCCGTCGCCGCGCCGTCGCCGCCTCGTCGCCGCCCCTCTTCGGGGCCTGCCCGTCGGTCTGGCGGCTATGTGGTCGCCGTCGCCGCCCCGTTGCTCTGGGCTTGCCCGTCGCTCTGACCGCCATGCGGCCGCCGTCGCCGCCTCGTCGCCGCCCGCCGCCTCGTCGCCGCACCCCCCGCCCGGCTTGCGTTGCGCTGCGTTGCATTGTTTTGCACTGCGTGGCATTGCTTGGCACTGCTTGGCACTGCTTGGCACTCCAGCATGGCCATTGCAGCACATGTGTAGCACCACGTAGTTTGCACCACCTGAATTGCACCACACCGATTGTACCACATAGGTTGCTTAACGTATATTGCAACGAGCAGTTGGTACCATATACGTTGCACCACACATGTTACATCGCATTGAGTGCACCACACATATAGGACCACATACATTTGCACCACATACATTGCACATCATAGCTCTCGCCACATGTATTGCTCCAACTAGTTTTACACCGCGTATACTGCAACCGTCACTTTCGCCACATAGATTGCACCACATAGCTTGCACCACACATCTTAGACCACGTAGTTTGTACTGCATAGCTTACATGCCGTAGCTCACGCCACAGATATCGCACCACAAAAGTTGCACCACATACATTTCCACTTCTATGAAGGAATTCGGATCTACCGCCCTCCCCCCCAGAATGATCCGCTCCCCTGCGGATAGGCAATTCACATGTTATTCTGCCCCATTGTTCATTCTAAATGTGAACCCGTATCGTCCCAGCCAAACCGGTACCGACGCCCCCCCATCATCCGCGTCAAATAACACTTTGCGCTGACACCATTCGTTTGTCGCAGATCATCCGTTTTCAAGAACCCCTTGCAAGATATATAACAAAGTGCACGCGCGCGCGTCGTTACGCGCTCATGTCGATTTCCTTCAGAACCCGTTAGCGTCGTAACATGAATTTTCAAACCAGTCGACGCGCGCTCTGGCGATCTCGGGGGGGAAACCACAAGTTTCCAACATCTCCATCCGATGCGACCAAACCAGCTTCTCGCGCGCGTATGTTGAGATCATTCGGACTCCATGGCGCGTGTGCGGGGGAGGGGGGGCACGATCCCTGCGAAATAACACGCCACTTGCGTGCGTCGGCCGCGCGTGCATGTCGAAATCTTCCCAAACCTTCCCCGTCACGTGGACACCAGCATCGTCATCGGCGTGAGCAGCATCTGCGCCGTCATTGGCCTTGTCGTCAGTGTCACCATCGTCGCCAGCATCGCTACTAACATCATCGCGTCTGCCATTGTCGACGTCGCCATGATGCCATGATACTGCCCCCGCCCAAACCACGGACTCGCTCGGCCTGCGAGACGCGCTGGGGAGTGCCTGGCGGTCAGCGCCACCGCGGCCGCGTCGGTCGCGCCAGACTAGCTGGCCGCTCTGCGCGCGAACCTGCGCGCTAGCATGGTCGCAGCTATGCAGCAGCCATCGTTAAGCAGTCATCGCAATCGCTGCCGCATGGGTTTTGCAGATTAAGTGCCGGGTGGATGGGTGGGATGATTGCGTGAGCAGTGGAGTTGTCAATTTCAATTTCGGCAGGGCGAATTGCCCCATATAGTTTGCACAGCGCAGCTTGCATCACATAGCTTGCACCGCCTATATTGCACCATATCGATGACCCCACTAGCTTGTACCACATAGGACAACGCACCGGATGCCAGAACGCACTGCTTGGGGCCCGCACTGGCCAACTTTTTGTTTTGTGTGCTGCATCTAAGTAGTGGTCACCGGCCTCTCCCGCTACCGTGCCTGTGTTGTCAGTCTGAAGCCTCTGGGATGTTTGTGGGGATCTCTTGGGGGAGCTTTTTCGGGAGCATATTAGATTCGGTTTTGGGGTCACTTGGGGTCCTCCCGGGAGTCTTTTGGGGGCTCCTTGGGGCTTAAATTGGGCATTTTGTTGGCCTCCTGGGTCTTGTGGGGGACCTCTTTGGGGCCTGCTAACGGTCTTGGAGGCAATTTAAAAGCGAAGGGCTCAAAATGTTGGTGCGTGTTCCCCCTTGGGGGCCTCTCTGGGGCCTCTCTTCGGGTCTTCTTGGGCAGGCTTGGGGGGCCTCTTTGGCTGCTTCGCGTTACCTTGGGCCGTCTAGGAGCGCTCTTCGGGGCCTCTTGGGTTGCCTTAGGGCGATCTTTGGGGCGCCTTGGGTCGTTTTGGAGCGTTGAAAGCTAGAAAAGGCGGGAACATTCAAATCTTTCAAAAAAACAAGAGAATCGAAGCTTCATCCTGGCCCTCTTGGGTGGCCTCTAGGAGCCCTTTTGGGGCGTCTTGGGGGCCTCTTCGGCCGTCTTGGGGCCGTCTAGGCGTCTTGGAGCTGTCTTGGGGCGACTCGGGGCCGTCTTGGGCCCTTTTGAGCGCTTCTTGGGGCCCTCTTGGCCTGGCCCGTCCTGGGGCCCCCTGGACTTTGGAAAATCACGCGACCGACCCTCGGACGATCTGGAAACTTGGGCCCCCCAGTCCCTAAAGTAATGTTTACAGCGTTCCCTGCAGATAACTTCGAGGGGATCTGCTCCTCCCTCCTCCCTCCTCATCCTCCCTCCTCCTCCTCCCTCCCTCCTCCCCCTCCTCCTCCTCTTCCTCCTCCTCCTCCTCCTCCTCCCCTCCTCCTCCTCCTTCCCCCCCCCCCCTCCCCCCCCCCCTCCCCCCTCCTCCTCCTTCTCCCTCCCTCCCTCCTCCCCCTTGCCCTCCTCCTCCTCCTCCTCCTCCTCCTCCTCCTCCTCCTCCTCCTCCTCCTCCTCCTCCTCCTCCTCCTGCTCGTGCCTCAGAGCACGGTGGCGGTATTCTTGGGTCGGCCGAGGCAATCTCGAGTGTATCCTGGGGCATGACGGAGGCCCCTTAGGCCGCCTTGACTGTCTCTGGGGCCCTTATGAGGCCGTTTTGTGAGCCCCAACCTTGTGTGGGCTTTTTTGTCCACCTTGGTCGCTTCTTGAACCAACTTGGGGCCAGCTATGGGGCCGTCCTTGGCAATCTTGGTCCGAAGAGCCTGGGTTTCTCGAACATTTTGAGCACATGTCCTTTCTTTCGTAACAAATAAAGGTTTGTGGTGAGACGTGCCCTATATTGTATGGAGTCCCGCTTACGGGTCCTAGTCGCAAATTTGCAGCCCGCACTTCTTTTCAGCACACTTCTCGCACGTTTCGTGCCCCAGACGGAACCTCACCCACTGCCCCAGTGTGGATCCCTCCCACGTTTCGCTGCCTCAGATGGTGCTGCGTCTATGGCCAAAGTTGTGGTGCGAGTATGCTATCCTTGAGCTTTGCTATATAGGGCGTTTTCGGGGCCTGGTCCTGTGCCGTCTGAGGGCCATATTGGGCCGTTCTGGAGCGTTCTTCGGCCGTCTCGGAGCCCATTCGGATCGCCTGGGGGGCTTTTTGCCGCCCTCTTGGCCTGTTTTGGACCCCCTAGCTTTGGGACAAGTCCAGCGGGAAGCCCCACGGGCCATACTCGTCCATTCAGGACAACACAGGACCAGAGGACATTCCCACTCGGGCCTCGAGACGCAGAGATATTGTGGTATTTGGCCCATCCCACCACCGTGCCTGGATTTTGGGTCACAGACCTCTTGGAAGCATGGTATTATGGATGGGTCTCTTCGGATGCCTCTCGAGGGTCCCTTGGAGGCATTTTTAGAGCCGCCTGGGGCCTCTGGGAGGAGTCTGGGGAGCCTCTTGCGGCCCCTGTGAGTTTTCCAGGAGGCCTCGTGGGGCGGAGGTCTCGAAATGTCAGTTCGGGCTCCCCCTCTTGGGCCCCTTTTGGGCCCCTCGTGGGGACCTCTTGGGCCCATCTTGGGCTGTCTTCGAGGCCTCTTGGGCCGTCTCGGGGCCCTCTTGGGGGCCTTCGGGGCGTCCGCAACGCTGGCTCGAGGCTCAAGCATCACTAGACGGGGGGAGCTCGCAGGTCTGCACCTTTTTAGCGAAGCAGCGCAGCCATGCCGGCAAATTCCGAGAAGGAGCCCACGGAGCCTTTTTTTGTTTCCCCAGGGCGCCTCCCCCCGACCCTCACAGTAAGTCAAAGGGCAGCTTGACTTGCAGCGACCGGCTCGCAGATGAGATGCAGCTGGCTTGCGTCCTTAACGCTGGCTCGAGGTTCAAGCGTCATTAGACGGGGGGGGATCTCGCGGGTCTGAGCCACTTCAGCGAAGCAGCGCAGCAATGCCGGCAAATTCCGAGAAGGAGCATCTGTCCATTGTGATCTGCGGCCATGTCGACAGTGGCAAGAGCACCACCACCGGCCGCCTGATCTTCGAGCTGGGCGGACTGCCCGAGCGCGAGCTCGAGAAGCTGAAGGCGGAGGCCGAGCGCCTGGGCAAGGGCTCCTTCGCCTTCGCGTTCTACATGGACCGCCAGAAGGAGGAGCGCGAGCGCGGCGTGACCATCGCTTGCACCACCAAGGAGTTCTACACCGAGAAGTGGCACTACACCGTCATCGATGCCCCAGGCCATCGCGATTTCATCAAGAACATGATCACCGGCGCTTCCCAGGCGGACGTTGCGCTTATCATGGTCCCGGCCGACGGTAACTTCACGACCGCCATCGCCAAAGGCAACCACAAGGCTGGCGAGATCCAGGGGCAGACTCGCCAGCACTCCCGCTTGATCAACCTGCTGGGCGTGAAGCAGATCTGTATTGGCGTCAACAAGATGGACTGTGACACCGCCGGATACAAGCAGTCCCGCTATGACGAGATCGCAAACGAGATGAAGAGCATGTTGGTCAAGGTTGGCTGGAAGAAGGACTTCGTCGAGAAGGGGACGCCGGTGATGCCCATCTCTGGCTGGATGGGCGACAACCTTCTGAAAAAGTCTGACAACATGGGCTGGTGGAAGGGCTGCGATGTCGAGTACGGCAAGGAGACCATCCACGTGGACACCGTCTACGATGTGCTTGACGTGATGTGCCGCGTGCCGGAGCGTCCCACCAGCGCGCCAATGCGCATGCCGATCTCCGGCATTTACAAGATCAAGGGTGTCGGCGATGTGCTCGCTGGGCGCGTGGAGCAGGGCGTGGTGAAGCCGGGCGAGGAGGTAGTGTTCCTTCCCACGCACACCGCTTCGAATCCGTGCACTGGCAAGGTGTTCACCGTGGAGATGCACCACCAGCGCGTCGACTTTGCCAACCCTGGGGACAACGTTGGCCTCAACATCAAGGGCCTCGACAAGAACAACATGCCCCGCTCGGGCGACGTGATGGTCTACAAGAAGGACACCACGCTGGGTCAGACGAAGGAGTTCGACGCGCAGATCCAGGTGCTCGATATCCCCAACGAGATCAAGGTCGGATACTCTCCGATCGGATTCGTGCGTTGTGGGCGCGCGGCGTGCCGCATCAGCAAGCTGAAGTGGAAGATGGGCAAGGAGACGGGCGGCAAGAAGATGGAGGACCCGCACTCCCTCAAGTCCAACGAGATGGCTCAGTGCAGCTTCCAGCCTCAGCAGCCGCTGGTGTGCGACACCTTTAAGAATTGCGAGGGCCTGTCGCGCGTGGCGTTCATGGACGGCAACGGCGTTGTGATGCTTGGCAAGGTCATCTCGTGTGAGCGCAAGGAGGAGGGCGGCGCCGGCGGCAAGAAGAAGTAAGCCTGGAGAGATATCCCGTAGTTGACGCGATCTTGTTTGACCACACACAGTGCCCATGGTCTTCCCGCCATTTCTGAGAGAGCGTGTGCCCGCCCCGGCCGTGCCATAGGTTTTGGTATGACATTCGCTTGGCAACGGGTGGCGCCATCTACTGTGGCTACGGTAGGATTAGCACCGTAATAACCATATGTGAACTTGCGTATGTATGCGTGCCGTAAGCTGTTCATGTTGTGTACAAGATGTCCACCGCTCGCTGCGCTTCGCTGATCAAACGTTGGAACTATGATGCACGCTGAGCGTCCTGGATCATGTGTCTCATGGTATGTGTAGGACTCGGGGACTTCGCGGGGTTCCTCTGCCGTATCGAGATCGTGAGCTTCATGAAGCTCGGAGGTTCTTATCGGTCTCGTGCTGTTCTCCGGCTTTGCGGGGCTCATGACTTGCAGTGTGGCCGTGGTGGTCATGCTGGTTTTGTGGGGCTGTAGTGGCCGCGGACGCACATGAGTCAGAGGGGGTCTGATTCCCCTGTCCCATCCCACATCACAACAGGGAGATACCTTCAACAGCAGCTAAAGCAGACCATCGCATCGTCGACGACTCCCTTTTATCGAAGACGCCTACGGCAAACCACCGCCGCCGCCGCCCCTGCCTGTTGAAGACGCCCATGCGGTCAATCGTTGGGCCAATGTCTGTCCAAGTTATTGGACTATGTGTTCCCCCAACCGTTCTGGATCCCCTGGGGGAAACTCGGAGAGACAGGAAAGAGGAGGAGGAGGAGGACCAGAAATAGCAGGAGGAGGAGGCGGAGGAGGAGGCGGAGGAGGAGGAGGAGGAGGAGGAGGAGGAGGAGGCGTATCAGACCTCTTTAGGCCGAGTGGCCTCGTGCCGGTTTTTGGGGGCCTCTAAGAGATTTTGTTGGCCGTCGGAGGCCGCCTTAGGGGGCTCCTCTGGAGAGTTGTGGGCTTCTCATTGGGTGTTTTAGGGCCGCCTTGAGGTCCGCGGAGCGTTTTTGGTGCGGCTCCTCGGCCCTCTGAGGCCGTCTTGGAGCCCTTCTTGCGGGCGTCTTGCGGGCCTCTCGATTGTCTCTTGGGCCCACCTTGGGGTGATTTTGGGGGCCTGTGGGGCCGTCCTGGAGCGTCGGAAGCCCGAACAGGCGAGAATGCTAGAATCACGGAAGCGCTTCAGAGAAATGCATGCGTTGGGTCTCCTGGAGGTCCTCTTGGAGCCGTCTGGAAGGCATCCTGGGCCGTCTGGGGGCCATCTTGGTCATCTTGGAGGCGTCTTGGGCCGGGCCGTTCAAGGACAGACTGGGAAACTCTTAGCACCATAATGCGTATACTGACGGGTATGCATAACTCAGCGCGGAAACGCGCAGTTGATTTGATGGTGCCGCGATTGCTTTGTAGTGTAGGATCTGGTCTACCCAGTTCAGGCCAGTCCAGCCCACTCCAGGTGTTTCAGTCTGCTGGTATGTTTGAAGTCTGCGCTGGGTAATGTTCTTTTTGGTCTTCTCGCAGGAAGAACTGACGCACGGAGATATGCTTCAATCTTAGGCACGGGGGTGTTCACGATCTGGGGAGGGCAGAAGCCCGGTTCAACAGACGACCGGTTCAACAGAAACCGGTTCAACAGACGACTGGTTCAACAGGACCGGTTCCGCAGAACCGGTTCCGCGGAACCGGTTCCACAGGACCGGTTCCACGGGACCGGTTCCGCGGATTTGGTTCCGCGGAACCAGTTCCCCAGGACCGGTTCCACAGGACCGGTTCCACAGAATTGGTTCCACACGCCTGGTTCCGCAGGACCAGTTCCACGAGCCAGGTTCCGCAGGACTGGTTCCACAGGACAGGATCGGCCCATTTGGTGCTCCAGACACTCCAGGCACTCTGCGTACTCGCAGTGCTCCGGGCCAGGTGCTCGAGCCGGGTGCTCCGGCCCCCGCCCGCCCGCCCGCCCCGACCCGCCCGTTAGGGTCCGCCCGCCCGACCCGGCCCGCCTGTTAGGGTCCGCCCGACCCGTCCCGCCCGTTAGGGTAGTCGCGTGCCATTTCGATGATGCACCATAATGTCATGTCCCGCACGCCCAACCCGGCCTATCCCGCCCGTGAGGGTCCGCCCGCCCGACCCGACCCGTCCCGCCCGTATGGGTCGGCCCGCCCGACCCGTCCAGCCCGTTAGGGTATTCGCGTGCCAACTTGATGATGCATCATACTTTAATGTTCCGCCCGCCCGACCCGCCGCGACCCGCCCGTCAGGGTCCGCCCGCCCACCAGACCCGTTCCGCCCGTTCGGGTAGTGGCGTACCAGCTCGATGATGCATCATCTTTTATTGTCCCGCCCGCCCAACCCTACCCGTCCCGCCCGTTAGGGTCCGCCCGCCATACCCGATTCGTCCCGCCCGTTTAGGGTCCGCCCTACCCGTCCCGCCCGTTAGGGTAGCCGCGTCGATGATGCATCATACATTCGTGTCCCGCCCGCGCAACCCGAGCCGACCCGCTCGTTAGGGTCCGCCCTCCCGACCAGACCCGTCCCGCCCGTTAGGGTCCGCCCGCCCGCCCTGCCCGTCCTGCCCGTTAGGGTCTTGCCCGCCCGAGCGGACCCGCCTGTTAGGGTCCGGCCCCCGCCCGCCGGACCCGACCCGCCCGTTAGGGTATTCGCGTTCCATTTCGATGATGCGCAATATTTTAATGTCCCGCCCCCCCGACCCGACCCGACCCGCTCGTTAGGGTCCGCCCGACCCGACCCGCCCGTTAGGGCACTCGCATGCCATTTGGATGATGCATCAATCTTTATGTCCCGCTCGCCCGATCAGACCCGTTCTGACTGTTAGGGTCCGCCCGCTCGACCGACCCGACCCGCCCGTTAGGATGCTCGCGTCCCACCTCGAGTCTGCGCATTTGTTCATGTCCCAGCCGCCCGATCCGACCTGTCACCACTGTCCCGCCCGTCAGGGTCTTCCCACCCGACCCGGCCCGACCCGCCCGTTAGGATCCGCGCGCCCGACCCGACCCGTCCCGCCCGTTAGAGTCCGCCCGCCCGCCCGACCCGTGGTGCATCATCTGTAATGTCCCGCCCGCCCGACCCGACCCGCCCGTTAGAGTCCGCCCGCCCGATTCGACCCGTCCCGCTTTTTAGGGCCTGCCCACCCGACCCGACCCGACCCGCCCGTCAGGATATTCGCGTCCCACCTCGAATCTGCGCCATACATTAATGTCCCGCCTGCCCGACCCGATCCGCTTGTTAGGGTACTCTCGTGCCAGCTCGATGATGCGCAATCTTTTCATGTCCCGCCCGCCCGACCAGACCCGCCAGTCAGGGTCCCGCCCGACCGACCCGAGCCTCCCGGAAGGGTCCGCCCGCCCGACCAATCCCTCGTCCCTCCTTCCTTTTCATCACTCATCCGTCCTACTTCTTCGCATGCCTCATCCCTCCCTGCCTCATCCCTCCAACTCTTGGTTCAGAGATGTCCGCACTTGAGGTGATCCGATCTGGTTTGGCCCGTTCTCCTGGGACATCCCTTGTGCTCAGCAGCACTTGCACGGCTTGTCGCAAGTACAGGGTGGTTCTTTTGGGCCGCTTCAGCGGACGATGCCTCCTCTTCCTCCTCCTCCTCCTCCTCCTCCTCCCTCCGTCCTCCCTCGTCTCTCGTACCCCGTACTTCTCTTCGTCCCTTATCACTCATCCTTCCGCCCTCCCTCCCTCATCCTTACCTCCCTCATCCCATCCCTCGTTGTCCCTCCTTCACCCGAACCCTCACCTCCCTCCCTCATCCCTCCCTCATGCATCCAGCCCTCTCTCCTCCTTCGTCCCCCCCTCCCGCCTACCTCATCCCTCATCCTTCCCTTCCTCCCTCCCTCCCTCATTCCTCCTTCCTTCATCTTTCATCCCTCCCTCATTCCTCCTTCATCCTCCCGCGAGAAGTGGTACTGGGAACGCGGTGTCTGGGGAAACGGTTTCGGGGAGGTTCCACGCAGGGAAGAGGGTCCGGGGAAACGGTCCGGGGAAGCGGTTCGGGGGAAACGGCTCCGGGGTAGCGGATCCAGGGAAACGGTTCGGGGAAAACGGTTCCGGGGAAACGATTCCGGGGAAACGGTTCCGAGGAAACGGTCTTTTGGGGAAGGGGTCTCGGGAGAATGGGTCTCCGAGGAAACGGCTTTCCGGGGAAGCGGTTCTGGGGAAGCGGCTCAGGGGTAACGGTTCTTTGGGAAACGGTTTTGTATCTTGGGGAGCGCCCATTCCAATGCTCTTGGCCGCTTGTTTTTTATGTCATGCCAAATCTCCCAAGTGCCATGCGATCTTCTTCGTGCTAGTGATCGGTGCCTCTTGTATTTCGGTAGCGCGCGCCAGGCAACGTCCTTTGACTGCAGTGTAGTAGTACTTGCCCTTCCATATTGTCAGAGATGTCTCTTACGGATTGTATCTTGGCAGACGGATGATAGTCTATTCCTGTTTCTTCCGCCCCCGAGTCAAAGGACAGTTACTTTGGGGCTTCCAGGGTATTAGCCATATCCGCTTCCGTGTTGGCCTCCTCGAGCCTCACGTGCCCCATTTGTTGACGCGCGTGCCGCACGCCCTAATTGCGAGACCAACTGTTGCTTCATTAGTCCTCACCCGTGCCACTTACTACACCCATTCATGATAACCCAGGGAAGCTCGTTTCGGCCCTAGCTCGTTCCCGTAACGCAAATCCGAACATCATTGTGCAGTGATACAGGGGTACGGTGCCTGGCGCGCAGCGCCAGCGCCTTCATGTGTAAACGATGCGCACGCGCATGCGGACATGTATGGCGTGCATTTGTGGTGTTTCATGTGTGACTTGCCAGGTTGCTGACCCCTGTATTTCCATGTTTCTGTTCACGCATGCGTCTTCAATCGAGTCGGGCAAGTACTAAGTGTCCTGCTTCTTCTCTTTCTTGCAATCTCCTGTCGTCCCTCCTGCTGGTCGGAGGCTCAAGGGAGTCGCCTGGCAGTAAGCCCCGTCACGTAAGCCAGCTCGGGGGTGCGGCAGCCATGCCGGCCAACTCGGAGAAGGATTGGGGGTCGCCGCCACTGCGTCATCCGCAGCCTCCTCTTCGTCTCCCCTCCGTCCCCTCTCCCTCCCCTACCCTCTCCCAGTCCTCCCTGTACAATCACCCAGTCTGAACAATACGGCCTCTCAGCCCCGATACTCATGCATCTGGTTTACTTGACGCGCAAATGTCATGGTTGTATTTTGGATGTTCCCACGCCCCAGCGTCTTTCGTTCTTCAACTTGACGCTCCCGCCGCAACGTCGGCCCCATGCCAGAATCGGCCGCGCGCAAGCCTAGCTTGGCCTGTCCCCCCCCACCCCCCTCCAGGCTTTTTTTCCCCTCGCCTTTCTCCCCTCCCTCCTCTCTCATCCCTGCCTTTCGCATCTACCGCGGTGGTACCACATCTGCTGATAGCATCTGCACATGCCATGTATCGCTGGACAGATCGGCTGCAGGTACCCCCGCTCTGCCTGGCAACTGCCACGTGCCAGTCAGACTGGAGGCGGTACGAGCAAACGTTGCGGCCCGA